CTCAGCGAATCTCCTTGTCTAATGCCAGTTTCATACTTGATAGGTTGCGAGAGTTTTCATTTACATCTTACCATAGCTATGTTTATATATTTATATTCTCAATAGTTTTTACTTTGTACTATTCGCCTGTCATATAATAAATGTATCGCATATTTTAGGGTTATAAATCTGCTATCAGAACTGGGAGTCGGCAGATTGTCCATGTTAGTCAACACTTGACAGACAAAATGTGCGCGTTCAACCTAGGTAACGTGGTCCAGCGGTGCAGGGCTTTTATGCTAAATTGTAATAGCTGTAGAATAACTTTGAGAGCATTTAATCAACAAACTATCAAATTTGACAGCCAAATCAAAACTGCTGTCAAACTAACAAAGCTATTCTATGGAATTGCACCGCTGGACTCCTTAACGTTACCTGAACGCGCTCAATGTCTTAGGACATAGCTGCAAGACACATGCTTTTAAAGATTCCGACGCGACGTCTTAAAAGCGTTTCGACTTTGCTCTAATATGTTAATGAACTCACAAGATATTTGAAAAACTATTCCTACGATATACGAAAACCAACTTAACCTGAACATATTCCAGATTTACTTTTTTCTGTAGTATCTGTATCTATTCTGTTCAGCAGTGTTTATAATTATTAAAATCATCAGAAATCCTCCCCCGTTCTGTTTCCACCTTTCTGGCATTTCACTATTCATATCCCGATTGCAGTCCCGTCAATCGTAAACATCTGCTATTCCTCTCTTGTTTAACCCTACTGACACTATAACCACCGTTTGCGAATGTTGCGTGATCGTACGGAAAAACTATTAGGCAACTTTGACGTTTACGAGGTTTTATAGAATTTCCACGTCAATAAACCCACAAGTTTTATATTATGTGTATCACATATCCAACACAATCAAAATGAAAAAGTTTAGTTTTGTAAGATTTATATATCTCATGATTTTGATATTTGTCGGTTCCGAGAAGCGATATATTTCCGTAAATAGTCCATTGGCAATAGATAATTGGCAGAACACAAAAAGGAAACAGCAAACATCCTTAATTTTTATAAATTTTATGAAGAAGCCTGTGCATTACTTCCAGAGTTATAATAAACAAAAACATTGTAGAAAAATATGGATTCCCCAAGTCTAGAGCGTAGTCGAGACAATTTTTAAGAGGACTTCACGGCCTGGCCAAATCAAACCACACATAAGTTTTAATTTCTATTTATTGTACGTCCTTTCGGCCATCGAGGTGGCCTTATTCAAGTACAATGACAATTAATGTCTGTATATTTGTCTTTATCTGTAATACAAGTGACAGTTCATGGCATGTCAACATAGAAGCGTTTCATTGTTGCTCTCATCACAATCAGTAGCAAACATTTATGCTACCTTGTCGTTCTAGAGCGGCAAAACTGCCATTGGGCCTGGCAAAACGTCAAACTTTCAAGAGCATATCAGAAATATATGCGGACCTTCAGAATTGGTCTACTAGTAGACTTCAACCAATTTTCAGGACACCCTGTATTGCCAGAAAGCATTCAGCATAATACAACCACTACACTTTCTTTAAATCACATATTTTTGCCAAGAAAAAAATAATCTGTGTCTGTGTCGCTCGATTAACCTCCAATAAAAGACGTTGGCCGACAAACACACCTCTCGAAAAAGGGTTTTCAATAGCAACAGAGAAATATCGCCAACACAATCCTTCAGCTTGCTGCTCTAAACCTACTTATCCCTTTTTTCAATGATGCCATCCAGCTTGATCTGCTAAAGAGATGCCGCCCGATACACAAACACACATACAAGGGATGTTTTAAATACTTTCGCTAAAGAGTAGTGCAAGGATTAGGCCATGCCTCCCTGTAGCTTCTACAAAGGGTGAAATAAGGCGTAAATTTAGCACCTTCATTGTTTTCTAGGCGAGATTATGGTTGTAAAGCCGACAAATCGGGACGGATAATAGCTAAATGGTTCGCTGGTTTCTTTTGCTGGAAATATTTACTCCTCCGCTACAATAGGACCGATTACTGGCTGTAACACAACACCAAATGTACAGGGAGAAAGACCAGCCAGAAGAGTTCAAGAATTTATTAGGTTTTCCTACATTTCTTGAACGAACATTGATTTAAGGATCAACTCTAGGGCGGCTTCCTGGAAGAGCAGACTTCCTCCCGAAGTATCCGAGTTTAAAAAAATTTTGAACGCGTTCTTCAATTTTTAATCGCCAATCCCCCCTTACGATACGGACATCTTCCTGAGCTCCTCTTCCTCTCCCCAGTACTTTTTTGAGCGGGTAATTTCAAATACATCACCCCCACGCAAAGATCCGCGCCTGACTGTTTTATTAGTAAAAGATATGTCATACGTTGGCAAAATTGCAGGAACAAAACTGTCATTATCAGGTAACATACTCTACGGCGCAGGCTCGTTCAAGGCTGGCAATGAGATGACTTCAACTCTCCTGTTTGTTACTCACATCTCTAAACCCAAAAGGTGGCACTCGAAGTCAAGTACATACCACTAAAATAGCATTCCTAGAGTTGCAGCTTCCTAATGACATTTCGTATTCACAATATCTAAACTGATTCACATATCTTGCATCAAATATTATTAATCTACGGCATAGTGTTAAAAGAATCCTTGTTGAAGTCGATAAATCGGAAAATTATCTAAATTAATATCTTTTAAACACGCTTCTCAAAAACTAAAAAGATAAACGAACTTTTCAATTCCAACTATAAAATTATTAGTTTTTTCAAATAACTTGGATTTGACAGTATCAAGGTATGTCATTGTTGGCATCAAAATAGAACACTCTTATTATCCTGTGCAAAAGCCCACGATCGAGTCCGCAGGAAATAAAGTTGATTATCGAGGATAAGAGACGAAACGTCAGATTGAAATTCTAATTATGCCACCTCGTAAAAGACAAAAGAGAAAATATTAATGTGTAAATTATTTATAAATCCCACCACAAATAAAGCCAGGTAAAAATAAAAATGATTTTGAGAAAAATCTGTTTCTTTCGTATATATCCGGTAATTGCGGAACTTTCTAAGTGCCAATTTCTTAGTTACTTAAATGAACAAATTTGCACCCGTTTAACCATTTTCCTGTCTCTTACCGTCTCCGAGACCAGTATGAGTCGAATATGGAACACCCAATAGATGGTGAATAATTCAGTCAGCAGCATTTTGCTGCCATCTACATTCCACGACTGGAATCAAAGCAGATGCGAAATCTAGTGGCTTTATCGTTTATATACCGCTGAAAAAGAAGATCGCTGCGCGCACAAAATATTGAAAAGATATCCACCCCATAGACGTCAGTCTATGTAACGCATATCCATCACCAAGAGAGGTCACCTCGGACAACAATATTTCCCATTGCAGTTTCAATGTATCTCTTGCATATTTGAAAACGCAATTAAAATATGAGGGTGCTTATGAATTTCAAAATTCTATTATGAATTCGTGTTAAAAAATAATTTTTCAGGAAAGATAGATAGTTGCCATTGCTGCTGATGTCTGCCCATAAAAGGTACATTAAGGGGACATATTTTCTTACAGATATCTAGGTCTACACCCTATTTCATAAGTATCCATCACGCTTTGACGTTTACTGAGGTGAACAGCTGATCAGCAAGTGACATTTTTGAGTTAGTTGGCTATAATGAATCGGGTGTAAATCCAGCAAAAATTTGTTTGTAGGATTTGTATGCAAATGAACGTTTCTAAATAAAAGAGCTTTTAGAATTATGTGTCGTTTGACGATATGGGAAATTTTGAAATGTTACTAGATAAACAGCTGTCATTCTACCGCCATGGATGCTCGTGAAGTACGGTATATCTCAAAGTTCTGTCCGTGTATAGATTATAAGGAAATATTTTTATTTCATTTTTTTTTCTTTATTGCTACATTGGGTAAACTTTATCCAAAAACATAATATTGTGTATATTCAATTTTTGTAGAATGAGTTACCTCTAGGTGAAATAAATTGATCCAGCGTTTGTTGGATACCGTCTTCATTTTCAAATTTCTCACTCTTCAGAAAATTTTGTAACGGCAGAAACAGGTGATAGTCGGGAGGGTGCTAGCTCTGGAGAGTATGGAAAATGTGATACATCTACGATTTTTTGACGGGCCTCCAAAGCAGTACATGCTAAAAGTTATCTAATTGCTGACATTACCTCGATGAATTCAATTTTTCTACCATTTAAGCTCCTTGCTGAGGATTTTCCCGATTCACAATCTTTTTCTTACGCCATTTTCATATGTGATCTGCTTTTCATCCCCTATTATCAGCCGATCCAGGAAAGGTTCGATTCTGCTGTGCTCAAATATTTCTACACTAATCCTAATGCCCAAATTTGGTCCGAAATAGTTTGTCTATCTGAATCGAGCCTCCCTAATGTTCGAAATCTTGTCGTACCTCCCGAATCGTTGCAACAATCGACTCATTATTTAAGTAAAACGTTTCAACAATACGGAAGTATTGTGGATCGTGTAGCGCTCCATGATGAATTGGACATTGCTTTAAACAACTACTACGGCGCCACCTACTGAAATGCGTGTATCAAAAATGGGGTGCAATTTAAATCAGTTAGTTATATATTGGCCACCCTGTAATAACACTATCGCGTGTCTAAATTCTAACTCAAATAGTTTTTGTTATAGTTCATTTGTAAGACCAGCTTGTGTACATTCAGTGCTAGAAAGAATTAGCAAGATACTCGTATTTTTCAAATAGAGAAGCACGTACGTATTGGCATCGGAACAGACAGAATTTTCCGGGACACGTAATATTTTTCTTCCTAAGAATACAACAGCTCACGAAAGTTATACACTCGAGTATGCTTGAGTTCTGTTACTGCTTGACAGCTAAATTACGAAATAGTTATGACGTAATTGTATGTTGAGTTGCTCATGCTTGAACGAAACCTTCTATGCTATAGTGCCAGTAAGAAAAGGATCAGGTACAAAACTCAAAAATATACCATTACAAAAATAAAAATATATTTAATATTTATATTCTTTTAAATTTGATGGTATTTACGAGATCATTGGTAAAATCAACATCTTCAGATAAGCCATGGAGCCGTAATATTAAATAGGAACGCTATAGTTTTAAGGGTAAGAAAAAATAAAAACAAAGTTCACAACAATAATCCTGAAACAAACACGCGCTTATCGCTGCACACTTTTAAAAAGACGCTCTTTCCAGAATATTTCTGAACATAATACTGAATAAATAATTAAACTAACAACTATAATCTTTTGGTTTGATTTGCCAATGTATCATGATTCTCGACTCCATCTAACACATCTTGGGCTTCCTCCCGCAAATTCTCAACTTTTTCCAAAAGCAGCATCTGGAAAAGTAATATAGTTTGTATATTATTTACATTTCATCAAGAACTCTAGCCAAAATTCACATTTGGATTTTTTGTTTGTCCTACTGATAGAGAATATATAAATGTGAATATCTGTCCAGTCTGTCAGCATCACGTCTAAACCACAATATGGAGGGACGTAAGAATGTATACACTTACTAAGTGAACCCGAGGAAGGTTATAAGCATGATATTATCTGCGAAAATATACAGGGTATTCAAAAAGAATACATGAAAATCCCGAAAAATGCGTTCATTAGAGAGAAATGATGTAGCACAAAGGTGTAAGGATTCATCTATTGGTGATCTTGAACGCGTGACCTTGACTATAACCTTCTAGGCTAGTTGAAGGTTAATACAATTTTCTTAAGGCCGTATACGCCTTTGTGGCCTCCTTGATTGACATAGTTTTTTTATCTCCTTCAGAAAGGCTGGGGTATTTCTAGATTTCACCTGTTCCGTGTCAGCGTCAGCGCTCTCCTATTGTAAATTTATAATTTCTTATTGAATTGTAGGAAATTTCAGGCTGATAAAACATATGAATAAATTGACATCATGAACTATTTGATGCAAATAGGTATTTGTGACATAATCTCAATATAGAGCGCTGACTCGAAACAGTAGAAAACTATGAAAATTAAGGAGGCCATAAAGGCGTCCCGCTATCGTAGGAACGACTAACGATATGGCCCTAAAATGAAGCTCCTATTTTTGACACCGGAAGTATGAAGAGTGGGAAATTTTAGGTAAAATTATGCCGTCGATCTTGACCACAATCTTCATAAGTATTTGAGGGTGCCTAGAAAATAGGAAAAGGAAAAAATATCTCAGGAAATACATTTCATAAAGAAAAACGTTGTGTAATAGAGTTGTAAGGTATGAAAAGATTCATCTAATGGTGACCTTGAACGTGGTCTTGACTATGACCTTCAAGCGCATTTGAAGGTCAAGATAGTTTTCTTAAATGGAAATTCCTGTTTCTGATTGTTAGTTTAAGATTTACTTGGCATTGCTACAATTACATCCTTAAAAACTAAACAATTACTAAACATACAGATATTTAGAACAAACAAAATTTGCGACTCGAAGAATGTTCAATGTCCATGAAATATTCCTCTAATTTTCTTTTAAACATATTTAAATTACAAGTAGACTTTATATCATTATTTAGTTTATTAAATTCAAGTAATCCTTTCTGAAATATGGATTTGCTAGTTATATTACTATTGCAATTTTGTTAATGAAAATCTATATTTCCTCTTGTATAATAATTGTGGTAATGAAGTGTTCTAAATATTGGGGCAAAATATGATTTTTTATTTTAAATATAAAAATAAGAACCAAATATTATATGAAATCTTTTATATTCAACCTCTGCAATTCTTGTAACATTGATATTTTATTTTGGTGTGCTGATTTTTATTCAATATTATTCTCGTAGCTTTATTTTGCAGGACTTGTAATTTTGAGAATACAGCTTCACTGGCAGTGAACAAAATAGTTGGACAATATAGTAAATGCGGTAGAATAATTGAATTATAAACTATTTTTTTTTTTTTGGAATAAGTACCAAGACCTTGAGAAGGTCCATAAAAGTAAGTTGTTTTTTTGACAATTTTTGAAATAATGTATTCGTAGTGATCCTCAAACTTTTACTATCAATATATATATACCTAAATAGAGCAAGAAACATATGTTCATGGCCTCGACTATGAACATCAAGGTTATTTGAAATGTCAAATGAATTTTTAACGGGAAAAATATATTTTTAATCCATGAAATGCAAATTGTGTGCAATTTTAACTTCAAGTATCCTTGCCAAGGTCATTTTAAGATCAGATAAATTTTCAAATAAACTCCTTACCTGGGATACAAAAAAGTAAAACATTGAAATTATTGTTCCATTACTTTGAATATTGCATTTTTTCTCCGAAACCAATCTCCTTCACATTAATATAAAACGAATGAGCTATACTTTGCACTACTTCTACGCAAGCGGAGCCGTTGGTTTAGTCTAGTGTTAACGTAAAATCTGAATCAAACTCACCTTTGATGCGGCTATCAATTGGTTGGCAACTCTGCTAGACATGAATTCAATACTCTCTACCAAATCCGCAGCACTCGCTTTCGCGATGCTCTGCAACGTTTTATATCCAGCATTGTACAGTTGCTTGGCACGACTCTAAAGAGAATAATCAAAGATAAATGTGGATCAACGAACTTTGACTTTGGCATGGCATGACTCCAAATATGAAAGTTTCGTACATAACGCGTACCAGAGAGAAGCGTGCAATACATATGTTAGAAAGAAATAGCAGCACCTCGTTGCCCAGCAACCCGAGTACGAGGTCACGGATCCCATCGGCGCACTCTTTCTAACATACATATTGCACGCTTCTCGCGCTTCTCTCTCGTACACATTACGACGTGAGCCAAATTTGAACCTCACCGTATACGTTTCACACTCTACATTCTGTATACTTTAGTAGCAATTGGGCAATTCAGAAAAGCTTAGTGCGGTTTCGAATCTTATGCTTACAACATATTAACCTGTGAAATGCTTATGATTGACGATTTCTTGATATCCACAGCAGATTCCCTACAACGCATCAACAGGGCACATGACATCATATTCATTTTGCAATAGCACACACAAGATTAGTTATGAAAATAGTGTACGAAAAATAAATGTCCAGTGGGAAACTACACTTTTTGATTTAATAAAAAAATAGAAACTTAATGAAAAGAAAATATTTATTACTATCAACATACAGTCGAAATCACGAAAGATGACGATTACGTCATCATTTTAGTCTGTTATAAAGACAAACGACAGCGATTTGTGAATATTTTTAATGAAGACAGAGACAAACAGAATGCTGCTAATTTGCATGTATCCGACAAAGATAGGCGATGTTTTCATGTTGCATGATCGATCATATTTGAAAGATGAATAGTTAGGTTATGTTAAAGCAGGTTAGGTTGTTTTCGAATAATACTTTGATGTTTGGTGTTCATGTCTATTCTACTATTCTACTCGTTTTTTTTTTTAACAAAAACTCCCCACTAAAATTATTATTACGGTATCACTCAAAACCATGAAATAAAATGAAAATAATCAGTGAAATAACCTGACTTCGCAAAATCATAATACAAATTTCTTGTCATTATGTTCCTGACATCGTGATTTTATCATCGACGTACGTCCATTGATTACTTCAGTACAAAATAATTGCATGGCGTGAGGTCGGGTGACCTAGGAGGCCAACTTCGGTATAACTTTTTAGGAAAAAATGCTTTCACCGTGTCGATCGATTCTCTGGAAGTATGGACAGTGGCCCCATCCTGTTGAAACCATGTGTTCCTGTTAAATCGACGTTCTGTTCTTACAATAGGAGCAAAAAAAGTGTCAATCATGTCCTTGTATCGCTCGTAATTGACTGTCAATGCATGACCGTTTTCATCTTTGAAGAAATACGGCCCAATAATACGGCTAGAGGTTATGGCGCACCAAACCTTTGGACTATGTAGCTGTTGATGTTTCTCTTTTAGGTTCGTTGGTGCTCAACAACTGCAATTTTGCTTGTTCACATAACCTTCTAAGTTAAAATGGGCCTGGTCACTGAAAACAACGTTCTCGAGTCTGCGATTCGTAGGAAAAAGATTCAACATCCGTTCTGCACATAATTTCCGTAATACGTAATCACTTTTCTTTAAATCATGTACTGATTGGATTTTATAAGGATGAAAACCCATTTTTTTTTTCATTATGCCATGCCGTGTTGACTTAGGGATTCCCAAAGCAGCGTACAGAACGCCGAGGATTTGCAATGACCGAATCACTTACTCGACGCACATTTTCTTCGGTTGATACAGTAGGTGTTTGGCCAGAAATGGGTTGACTAAGGGTAGACGCTGTTTCACGGAACCTCAATCCACTTCTTCAATAGGTTCTTACTTGGGGCATCTCTTGGTCGGCGAATGTTGTATCGTGTACAAAATTTCATAAGGGTAGCTGCGTATGAACGACCACTCTTAAAGTAAGCCTCGATAGCAAAACATCTCCCCACTTCCATGCGTATACGGTTGCCGCGTAATTCAAATGTGAAATGTGAACTTTCCCACTGGACACCCTGTACTTCCAGGAAAACCCAACTAAATTGTGCAAATCATCGCTATCACTTCAATAGATTTACACGATAAAAATCTGAGACTGACCCCGTCACCAAAGACGTTATGCCATATCCCCTAGAGATTCTATATTAATACGTAATACGCATATACCTGTTTAACAGCGGGTAAGTCCATGAGAGGAAGCAATTCTCTAACACAACAGTGAGACAATCTCTGACCCATCCCTCTTAGAAGGTAAGCATATGGCCAGAATTCTTCCAACTCTTCACAGAAATTCACTACATTCGTCGCAAACGTTGCAGATATCGTCATCAAATTTTGAACTATCCCTCTACTAATCTGTAAATATTTTTTCTAAAGTTACAATTATTTTATTCGAATGAGAAAACTAAAATTGACTAAACCAGGTTTTAGCATCTCTCAGTTAAGTTCCTCTGACACCCCAACACTGTATTTTTAATGCCAGGCTGCCTAGATGACTGGCAACCATATCAAATACACCAACCATTGGTCAAACAAGCAATTTGAGCTTAGCAAAAATTCGATTTCAAGCAGATATTTGTCTTTTGATACTAAACTAAATTGTGTAATATTCGGCGTAGTGTCCTAAAATCTAGCTAAGTTAAAATAACATTCATCTGGTTTCCACGATCATGGAAATTGCCACGACCGAAACCATCTGCAAAAAGTGCAATTTATAATTTTATGAAAACAGACGTTATTCTCAAAACCATATCTGTTTAACTTTCAGGTCCCTATGCGGAATAATATACGATTAGTAAAAAAAGAGAAATGACAGGTGCACAAATAACCTGTGCTTGACGTCCGCAAAAACAAAGAATGCGACAATTCAGTAAGGAGTTTAGGGTATTGAAAACAATTTAACAATAATTTCATCGTACCTGATATTTCTCCGATACTTGAAACACTGGCATTTCATTCCAGAGATCATAAAGCATGAGCGTGACATAAAATCTATTTATCACTCTTTCAGGTACATTTTTTATAGGGTTATTTGACAGCATTTTCACAGTCACCGATTCCGTCATGCCTAACGTTTTAGCAACTTTACGTTCGTTCGGTTTCAGTCTTGTAAGCTGAAATGCATTATAAGATCAACACAAGGCAATATGAATAACTAAAAATAAAGATGTACAGCGTGGGCCATACATTTTTGAACTTCATGGTGGTATTTAGAGGAGATATCGAGTGAATTCCGTCGTGATGAATCGTTTCAAACAACGCGCCTTCTGTACAAAGCATTTTTACAAAATCAGCAGTGCATTCAGGTTAACCTGGCTTTCATTTGTAAAAATAAGAGCTCTGCATGGTAATATTGTCTATTAGCGATGTTATGATCATGCAGAGAAACGGTTCTTAGTTTTTAAAAAGGATTGTGGAGATTTCAATAATTTTATTTTAACAGTAATCAGTGCCGTTCCATCAATGTCTGCCAAAATAGGTGGATGAAATTCCGAGTATCACTGGTGGAAATTAAAAAATGCCTCTTGAGATATAGTACATATATGTTAAATTTTACTGAAATATCCAAGTGGTATTACAGATATTAATAATAAATTATTTATTTTTGAAAACTTTACCACCCTTTATCTCAAAAGTTGAGACGTTTAGGACATACGATCATATGAAGTTTTCTTCTAAAAATGGTCAATCAATTAGGAAACATACTGTATATAAAGACTTTAATAAACCGAAAAGCATCTAATTAAAACTAAATTCAAAGTTTTACTCGTATTAATCAATTCCGCCCGCCCATACAAAATTTCAAACAGTGCATAGCATTGTTAACCTCTACCATGAACCATCATGTGTAATTTTTTTGAAACTCTAATGCCGGAATTGTCTAGGATATTTTTCATAGTAAGCATTTAGTTGAATACAATCTATATTTTTGTCAAGGAGATTTCAAAGATGCAAAAATGAATGGCCCACCAATAACATACTACGTTACCAGGAATAATATACTTAAAAATGACACAATTTTTTAAGAAGGGGAAGATCGCCGAGTCTCGTGGACAGCCAGTGCTGCCATCTATCCATACCTCCGCGCAACAGACGGGCTGCGCCACCGGGTGCAGTCAGACTAGCTCCGCTCATTTCACCCAGCCGTGATTACACCGCTCTGCTCATGGGGATATATTCTGGCAGGGGGTAGCTGAGCGAGTTTGAGTAAACGCGGTGACGCTGACCGTCTGTTACGCGAGGTATCGTCATACTGGAGGTGTATGATGTTTGAGTTGTAATCGTAGTATCAACTCTATATGGGTTATGAAATAGCAAAAATATTATTTATTCTTAATTCTTACTAATACGTACAACTTCGTAATAAACTTGCATATTTGGTTTTATCTGATCCGCAGTTTCGTAGGGTGTTACAAGGTATAACAAGTGCAAATGTCCTTGTAGTACGAGGCACGATTGAGCGTCGCTGAGATCTTCATACAGCAAATGGGCCCTAGAAAGTTCCAAGCCACCTGGAACCAAATTTCGTGTTTGTCCAACAAACGTGTTTCGTGGAAAAATCGTAGAACCATTAATGAACTCCATACATAATATTAGAAGTTTTAGTACTATAAGAATGTCACTGTCTTGTATTCGAAGAGGTAAATAAGACGCAATGTTCACCAGGTATTTAAGAAATTACTTCAAACCAAGTGTATTTAAAACTAAACATCATAATGATGAGCGCATCCACAACAGCGAGTATGGTTAGTAAACAACAACTTGAGAGATACGAAAAATGGGCGCCGACGGGATTTGAACCTGCTTCCCTGCCATTCCCTGTAGCCGACCTAACCAATTAGTCTACAGCACCAGCTGTCAACAAACTTCTCTCAAGTTGCCTTAGTGCCCCACAGAGGCGTAGAGCTAACTTGGGTGGCACCCGGTGGGGAAGTTGGCGGTGTCACCCCATCGAAAGTCAAAAGCAATAAATTTTAAATGATTTATAAACGTCATGGATCATATTTATATTTGAAATATCGGACAAATAACAAAATACAATAAAAATCAAGACAGTAAAATAATTTTATCTTAAAATTAAAATCTCTTTTTCTAGCCTTGACAGCTGCAAACTCAGAAGTAACTTAATCAAAATTTATATTTTGTACTGCCTCGTGTACGATGGCTAATATACCAAGATTCTACAATAAACTTTAAAAAATCTAGAGATACCGAATCAGAAACTGGCTGCTTTTAAGTGTCTTGGTATCTCCAAAATTCACTCTGTTTCTGAAACCTCATCATAAAAATCAGTAAATTTGGATGTAGCTAATTTCAGTTCTTCAGTATTCGCCAAAAGCAAAGTATTTCTTTGTACGATCTCAAACAATGCAGCTAGGTCTTGAAGAGACTTCGATCTTGCCTGGAGTTCAACTCTGAATTGGTTAAGACATTCCAACATATCTTTTTGAAGTTCCTGCTTTCCCCTTTTTTACGACGAAGTCGTCTTTCTATTGGAATATCGTAGTCTTCTAATTTTCAGCAATATCTATTGCCTCTTCCACAATGACTCTGTTTTCCTTCGATATAAAGACGAAGTCCCTCTATTTTTGCAGCAGCTTTGTCAACAGTTAAGCCCTTACTTTACAATGCCAATCTGTGCATTTTTTTATGTTTGTACATTGTTCTTAAAGTTGAGTCACCGGGTGGGTGTCATCCCAAGAAAGGTGACACCCGGTGCGAACCGCCACCGCCCTCCCCTTGCTACGGCACTGGTGCCCCATCTGACGGCGTTCCACTGAGCCGACCGTGTCGTTACGGTACCTCCAATCGCTTTCTAGTTGCACCACGCCGCCTCGTGGATACACACCACGGTACCACCATGCGAGGACAGTAACATATATATTATTTTTCGGATGAGCGCATCCCTATAGCGAGTATGTTTAGTAATCAACAACTTGAGATATAGGAAAACGCCGCCAGATGGTGCACTAAGGCAGCTTGAGAGAACAAAGACGCAGTGGCGTGGGTAGGACTGAATTTTCCTCTAACAGTCGATCCTAAAAGATGGTTGGCGCTTGGTGCTGTAGACTAATTGGTTAGGTCGACTCCGTGAAACGGAGGAAATGCGGGTTCGCATCCCGTCGGCGAGCAAAATTGTAGAAAAGTTACTGTCCTCGCACGATGGTACCGTGGTGTGTGTACGCGAAGCGGTGTGGTGCTAAAAAAGCGATTGGAGGTACCTTACCAATTCGGTTGTTTCATTTCTCCTAACTCTCACGCTGTTGCGTACTAAACAAGTGTATATGCCGTTGTTTACCACAACCGCTGATTTGACCAGCTATGGTAGAAATATGTATGATGTAGAGTTGATACATTTTATTCAATCGCAATCTTCGCAAATAATTGAGTGATTTCATTTATAATGACCAGTAAAACAAGGATATTATCATGCATACCTTTAATTGCAGCACAGCCTAGCTCACTAACTACAAGTTTTGAGCTATTTGACAAAACAACTACTTTTTTCATTTTGCTTGGAGTCGACTCTTGCACAGAATCATTCATTGTTGACGTCTGTGGAAATTTTAATAATCATTACTAAAGCCACCTTGATATACAGGGTTTGTCCGGAAAGTAATAGGACTGAGTCGACTTAAAAAAATGTATTGAGCCAATCGTTACAATTCTTTAAAAACTTTCAAAATAGGCTCCTTCTGCGTCGATGCAGCGCGATTTCCAAACATTGAAGGCGTCACGGAAGACGTTCTCCGGAATAGCCTTGAGAGCCGCGGTGCATGCTGCTTGGATCCCCTCTGTCGTCTCAAAATGCTTGCCTTTCATCGGCCTTTTCAGGGGAGGAAACAAAAAAGTCCGGGGCAGCCACATCTGGGCTGTAGGGCAGCTGCGGAAGCGTTGGTCAGGTAGCTGTTCACAAGAAAGGCGGTGTGAGCCGGGGCGTTGTCGTGGTGCAACTTCCAGTCGGCTGCGATGTCTTGTCGGACCCGACTGACCCTTTGTTAGAGTCTCCTGAGCACTTCCACGTAAAACTTGGCGTTGACGGTTTGTCCAGGAGGAACAAATTCATGGTGGACGATGCCTTTGATGTCAAAAAAGACAATGAGCATCGTTTTCACTTTGGATTTGCTCATTCTTCCCTTTTTTGGGCGAGGAGACGCCGTCGTGTGCCACTCGGAATATTGTCACTTTCACGCATGTTCAAATTTTCTTGGCACACTTCCACTCGCCGCAATTTCTGGTCGTCAGTGAGCACTTTTGAGACCATCTTCGCGCACACCTTGCGCATGTTCAAATGCTGTGTCACAATGGCATGAAGCACAGATTTTGGTAAATTTAACATCTGGACAATTAAACGAATACTTAGTCGACGGTCTGAGTTCAAAACTTTGCGCACACGAGTCACATTATCGGTGTTTGTCGAAGTCGAAGGTCTTCCAGCACGGTCTTCATTAGCGACCTCTTTCCGGCCCTCGAAAAAGGCCTGGTGCCACCGAAACACACCACTTCTTGCTAAAGCAACACCTGGGTAAGCCTGCTTGATCATATCAAATGTCTCTGTCGCAGATTTACCGAGTTTCACACAGAATTTAATCGCGTACCTCTGTTCTAACGAACGCTGCGTTTTCGACTTGCACCACTCACTGAAACACGTCGCGCGAAAATGCCTGTCCTGACTCTCCAAGTGCTCGGAGACAACTGACCAGCCGCTCATTCGTTAGCTAGGAACGCCCTCTACCGAATCCAGTCGGTGCGTGCACGCTCCGAAATACAGTCATGGCGGAAGAAAATGAGTCCTATTACTTTCCGGACAAACCCAGTAGCTTCTTAAAAGCCTTACATCCATTTTAACAGAAACATTCCCAAGTGGATCCACCTTCTCCTTTATTTTACCACAAGATTCTTTCAATGCTCCTAATTTAAACAAGTTCTTAATAACGCTGTCTACGAGCTTCTTTATATTCACTTCAAGTCTGTCATTTTGTACAGCTAATAACGTATATTTGGCTACTTCTTGGAGTTGCGGTCGTGTGTTAGCTATTCCCAAACTGATACAACTCAGCAAAAGATGTCTGAAACCCATAAGTTGAATTGAAATTAAGATAATTATAACATATACACGATGTTCTTTGCCAAAAATGAAATATATTATTCAAACAAAGCTATAGTTCAAACAAACCTAAGCCCTTTTCCCTCAAACATATGCATCCCGGATACTGCCTGATTCATCGGAGACATCAACAACTCCCTGACTTTGGGTAAATCTTGAGGTTGAGATATCAAAATGCTGTCACCTATTTCTCCTAGTCCTGCTCTACCAGCTCTTCCGACCATTTGCTTGTAACGAGACAGATTGATGAAATCCTTTCCTATGTATGGAGATCTAAGAATAACCTAGAAATAACAGTTGCTGGTTGAATTAATAAAGATATCGGAATAGACTTTTAAAATTAACGAACGCAAAAAACCGTCTGCTTAAACTGTAATATACCATTGTCTATCTGAGCGTTCATTAAGCTTTTATCAATTCAAACATACCCTTCTCGCTGGTAAGTTCACTCCAGCTGCTAAGGTAGATGTGCAACAGATCACATAAATCACACCACTTTTGAAACCTTCTTCTATTATTCTTCTTTCGTCACTTGTCAACCCTACAATTGTATCAGTCAGTGCTAAAAGTTCGTAAAAGTCCGATAATTCGTATTTTTCAGAAGACAAAAACTCCCTGTGTCACTGACAAATAAATCAGTTTTAAAGTACTTTAAAACTGATTTGATAAAAGTGCTTTTCTGTTATGGACTTACGTTGTTTTAGCAGGAAACAGGGTTAGTGGTATATAACAAAAGAATCATATTAATCATATTTTTCACTGCTTCCTATTGAACATTTACACTTAAATTTGGATTTTTTAACGTGTCACAAGTTTTAATTTTGCTTGTTTTAATATTTTTAAGGTACATAGGAGAAACTTGGCCAAAGCTAATACCTGAGAAACTTGATTTTCCCATTTTACATCTAAACCATGGATCGACCATCGTGAAAAAATACATTTGACATATTCGTTCAACTTTCTTCAATATTCGGTAATCGGTTGTAGAAGAACTCATGTGTTTTTTTTACTACCAGGCATCAATATTTTTTTCCAAGAAAAAAATTGAAATTGCAAGATAGGTGTTGTACATGCAACTCATACTTTATCCTATCTTTGCGAACAGCTATCTAGAATACTTAGCATATATCTACAGGACCTTCTCAGTCATACAAATGAGAAAGATTGGCTCAATGGTTTTTGGTACAAAACAAGTAATTTTGGGCAAAGCGTATAAGACATGTAATCTTATTTTTGGAGCCGATAAATTTAAAATTGATATTTTCAAGTAGCCACCGTCGAGCACTGCGTGCAGAAACCACCAAGTCCCGGACTTACGATGCTTTTGCACTGAACGTATATTATATCGTGTTATTTGAAGGGGAAGAAATGTAGTGACTTACGAGGTGTTTACCCAGAATACGCATCTACCTTCGTTAAAAAAGCTTATTGGTAAAAGATGTATTTCAGTAGTTTTTGCACTGACCAATTTAATTGGACTTGCATAAGTGACCAACTGTCATATAATTAGGTGTCACCTAATGCAAGTTGTAACATAGGCGGAAATGAGCATTCTCTTTGAAGGCACAATTTGACCAAACAACATTTTATTTTATTAGGTGGTAGGTATGTTTTTGAAAAAATCACTTCACTTGTTTGATGAAATAAAAGCCTTACAGATAATCATAAACACAGCTGACAAGAAAATTTCATTGACATGTATATATCGTCCCCCATCTACATGTTGTAAGTCGTTCAACTCCAATCTCTATGTTAGTATTCTTATAGGTGATATCAATATAAATCTATTAGACTGTGATAACGAGATAACACAGGAATACTTTACATTATGCCCGAAAACGACTACAAATCTACAATAAACTCTTACACTCGAATAGAAAATCAAAGCAATCTTACCTGGATCATATCTTCATAAAAACAACAGAAAAAAAAACATGACACCTGTTATTCTATAAACGAAAATTACTGATCACTATCCTATAGCGTTAAAAATTAATGTAGTTATTAAAGCTAGAGATAAATTAAATGATAACCCAAAACTGTATATAGATTATAAAAAACTAAATGCATACCTTGAAAAAAAACTTGATTGTATATACAGGGTGACTTGTAATGTCACGCATTCCTGTTAAGGGGTAATAGATTAGATCAAAATCAACCAATTTTGTCCTATCATGTCTTATCCAAAAGTTAACCATTTTTGAGTTATTTGAATTTTAAGTTTTTTCTTTTTTATTCCGATTTTAGACGGTTACAATTGAAATACAAAAAAACTGCATGCTTGATTTTGAGTTTTTTGTTAACGTCGCATAGCAGATATTCCAATAGTTCATAATAAGTAATATAATGTTGGAAAGCTACAAACGTTTTAAAATGACGCTTTTTAAATGTATAATTTCCTTTTTTTTTACTAACTTATTCGATAAAAAATGCAATTTTCTGTAAAAAATCTCCTAGTAATGAAATGTGCAAATTATGTAAATAATATCTCTATCTAACAAGCTTTCATTTGAGGTATTAAGCGTTCAATTATCTGGAGTACATGCAGAGAAACAACAATGACACCCACAGAGGCTGGATTTTTAAGGAATTTGTATTACCTGTTTGAACAAGTCGTTACTGTCCTCAAAGGACTCGCATGCCATGATTGTTTTATTGCATCGGCTCGACGAGGAAGCGAGCGAGAAGAGCTGACTTAGTGGAGGAGTGAAAGAAAGAGAGCTGTTATTATTTATCATTGTAGTTACGCCATCGCCGCACGCCGAGTGAGAATTAGGTTTAGTTGGTATCAACTACTGCGTGCGTGCACACGTTTTACGCACTATTAGTATTTTCGAGTTTCCCAGTTCATTTCGAGTGGTTTCTTTATCATCATGGCAGACGCAGAAGATCCGCCAGGACCTCGCCATAGCGAGCACGAGCAAACTTTTACAAATGAAGAATATGCAGACATAATGTTCTGTTATGGACTTTGTAACGGCGATTTTGCAGCTGCCCGCCGTTAATGTCGGCAACGTTTCCCGATTCGCCGAACACCTCATGTTACTGTGTTTGATTCTGTGTATCGGCGCATCCGCCAAACCGGACGTGTTCAAAGGCAACATAGTGATGCTGGTCGACCCCGAGTCTATCCTCCTGAAGACGAAGAGGAAATCCTTCGTGTGTTTCAGGAAGACCCTACTACGTCTACGCGCATTGTGGCTGCTCAGTTGGGTATATCACAATACACAGTATGGTTTACTGTGCATACTGCAAGATTATACCCTTATCACTACACGCCTGTGGATGTGATTGAAGAGGGCGATCCTGCAAGACGATTAGATTTCTGCAGGACATGTTACATGCAGATACAGAAGATCCAGACTATTTTAAGAAAATTCTGTGGACCGATGAATCGAAGTTTAATAAGGACGGGATCACTAACTACCACAATGCTCATTACTGGGCTGATAAAGAAGCTTTAAACACCCGAAAAATAAGACCGACAGGGTCTCAGAGCCGGTTTTCAGTCAATGTGTGGATGGGCATCATTGATGGATATTTAATTGGACCTCATTTTCTGCCCGCCAATTTAAATGGAGAAGTGTATGAAGAGTTCTTGAAAAATCACTTGTTTCCATTAATGGAAGACGTACCATTGGCGACGAGACAAAATATGCGGTTCCAGCACGACGGCTGTCCCGCACACTACAGTACATTAGTACGGGCGTATTTAGACTCTAAATTTCCAAATCAATGGATTGGCAGAGGCGGGCCCATTGCCTGGCCAGCAAGAAGCCCAGATCTCACACCGATGGATTACTATGTGTAGGGACATATGAAAAGCCTGGTGTACGCTATTTCGCCCGTACCAACGCGCGATGATTTAATTACATGGATAATCAGTGCAGCTGACCAAATAAAAAGCCGGTTAACAACTTGAGTTACCAAAAGTGAATTACGTAAGAGAATGCGGGCGTGTATTCGTAACAGGGGTTTACAATTTGAGCAGAATCTGTAAAATACTAAAGGAAATGTAATTAAATAAAACTGTAATTGAAATAAAAGTCTTTTATTTATCCTACGTAATTATCGTCTTTGTACTTGAGTTAGTTGTAACTTTTATACCTCAAATGAAAGCTTGTTAGATAGAGATATTATTTACATAATTTGCACATTTCATTACTAGGAGATTTTTTACAGAAAATTGCATTTTTTATCGAATAAGTTAGTAAAAAAATAAGAAAATCATACATTTCAAAAGCGTAATTTTAAAACTTTTGTAAGTTTTCAACATTTTATTACTTATTATGAACTAGTGGAATGTCCGCTATGTGACGATAACAAAAAACTCAAAATCAAACATGTAGTTTTTTTGTATTTCAAATTTAACCGTCTGAAATCGGAATAAAAAATAAAAAAAATAAAATTCATATAACTCAAAAACGGTTAACTTCTGGATAGGACATTATAGAACAAAATCGGTTGCTTTTGACCTAATCTATCACCCCTTAACAGGAATACGTGACATTACAAATCACCCTGTCTATACAGAAAATAACTTAGACAAGGCGTTTGAGTTATTTGTCTTCATTCAAAAACAGAAAATAAATAGTTCTACCTCGGTAGTAAAAATAAAAAGAAACAAAATAAAAAGGCACCCATGGGTAACTAATGGATTAATAAAATCTATTGATATAAAATGCCAAAGATAATCCAGACAATATCATTTTCAAAAACGAATATACTAAATATGACAATAAACTAATTCGCCTAATAAAAGAAGCAAAAAAGAAATATATGACAGAGCAGCTAGAAAAAAATATAAATTCACCCTTTCATTTATGGCAGAGTATAAGAAAAATACAAGGCTATACACAAAATGATTCAATTCATGAAATAAATTTCAACTGTAGTCAAACTATAACGGATGAATTTAAAGATTACGAATGAACTCTGTCGCTATTTCAGTGAAGTTGGAGAAAAACTGGCCAAAAAGGTGTAAAACCAAAACATTTAATATTAATTCAATAGGACTGGCATAGCGAATTCTTTATATTTAACGAAGACTGAAGAAAACGAAATTCTTAAGATTATAAACAATTTGAAAATAAATAAAGCTCCCGGTCTGGATGGTATAACGGCTCGAGTTTTGGAACATATATCTACATTCATCACACGTTCTATTTGTTTTCTCATCAATCGTTGTTTGGACTCGGGTGTTTTCCCAAATTTCTTAAAATTTGCAGTTGTTAAGCCCATTTTCAAATCAGGTCAAAGAACGAAGATGGAGAATCATAAACCGATATCAAATTATCGGTTTTCACTAAAATATTTGAAACTGTCCTAAAAACAAGATACAACGCATTTATTGATAAATATAAATTATTATATAACAATCAATTTTGCTTGAGAGAGGCTAGATCAACACAAGATGCAATCGTTGATATTTTGGATAAAATATACAACTGCTTAGATGAAGATGATTGCTGTCTGTGTATCTTTGTTGATCTAGCCAAAGCCTTTGATACCGTGAGTCATAGTTTGCTGTTGGAAACATTGGAAAACTTAGACTTTAGAGCCTACATGTCTACATGCTTATTAAAAGCTACTTAACCGATAGAAAACAATGTGTGAAAATCGGAGATCAAGAAAGCGAAGAACGTGTTATTAATTATGGTGTGCCACAGGGTACTGTTTTAGGACCTGTCCTATTCTTATTATATGTCAATGATCTATTCACTTTGAACTTACGAGGCAAAATAACGAGTTTCGCAGACGACACAGTAATTTATTACAAGATAAATCATGGGAATCAGTTCGAAAAACAGCAGAGTTAGACTTTGAAAATATAATCAGATTTTTCCACTCAAAAATTTTAACAATAAATTTTAGCAAAACATTTTTCTTACCTTTCTATAATAGTCTTAAAACTGCTCCAAATTTCTTATCGCTAGATATAAAAAATAATAATAATAAAAATATTTAGGGATAATGATTGATGACCGCCTTAAATGACATGCTCAAGTTGAGTATCTTACAAATAAATTAAGATCACTAATTCCAAGATTCAAGTTCTTTAAAGATTTCTTATCTACAAAACAATTGATTTCAATATATTATGCATTATTCCAATCACTATTAAGTTATAGCATTGTTGAATGGGGGCGAGTACTGCCTACGGCATTAAAGAAACTTCAAGTTGTACAAAAATGGATTTTGAAAATTATTTTAGGTGTCAACATTCTCGACGCATACTACGTTTTCTTTTTTTCGTAAATGTGATCGAAAAGCATTTTTTAGTGTTAAGTGGCAGATCATTTCTCTTACAATAATCGTTGAGTTTGTCGATATCTGATTATATTTTGATGATACATCTTTAAGTCATCTGCGTAAAGAAGAAACTGGCAATGGCTAAAACATTGTGCGATATCGTTTATATAAATTAAGAAGAATAACGGACCTAAGTTGCTACCTTGAGGAACACCCGATGATGGAATAACGACTCTAGATTTATACCCGTTTATACACACGAAGAATTCTCTGTCATTACAAGAGGGCCACGAACACCAACCTTAGCAAGTTTTGCCGATAGCAAATTAGCTCGATCAAAAGCCTTGCTGAAGTCGGTATAAATAGCATCGACTTGGAAATTTCTGTCAGAATGATCGGAAACGAAGTCAGAAAAACAAAGTAAATTGGTATCCAAGCACCTTTTCAGAAAAAATCCATGCTGTTGCTGAATGATTACGTATGTCGTTATAAATAAGATTTTAGAACATCTTCGCGAATATGCACAGCTTGCTAATAGCCCTGTAATTATCTGCCATGTACCTTTCTCCACTTTTAAAAATGGGTGTAAAAGAGGTGTTGTAAATTAGAGTAAGAGGTTTGCATTAATTCGTTTTACATTTTTTTTATGAATATTGGTGGTATATTGTCAATTCCAGCCGATTTGTTGATATCTAAAGTGTCAATAATTTCAAGTACTTGCTTTTCGCAGATTGTTTTTAAGCATTTGGGTATCCCTTTGAAGGAAAAACGATATTGAAGTACTCGGTAAATATTGTTATATTGGGATTATAGTTTACCCCTATATATTATCAAGTCATGAATTATCCATTCATTTTAACTTCTGACAAAGTTCTTCTTTGATACATACCTGAATGATGATATGCTATCCCATATTGCACTGATATCTTTAAAATATCACATAATTCGCCACCTTCGTCTTTCAAAGCATGAATCAACTGTTCTTTTTCTTCCTTCTTGTGATTCTTCAACTCCCTAGAATAGAAACCTTCATAAACACTCATGCATATACAGAGCATGACAATTATGTCAATTGGTAATGCTGTCATCATAATTGGGTAGCATGCAATTTATAACAAGTGTTTCTCAAAACTGTTCTGTTTATTTGAAGTAGATCAACCACCAAATCTCATACACTGAAAATGCAATTTTGAAAGTTTTAAAGTTACTTACGGCTTGCATAGCCTGCAGAGTAGATTAGTTACATTTTCACAGTTCTTCTTGGAAGCGCAAAAAACCAAACAGGAACCTTTCGGGATGATATCCATGACTAGGCCGCCCAGCATGTCTGGGTCAATTTTTTGCAAAGATTCAGAATACTGGAAATAGCAAAGTATTTCACAAAATCGATTTTCATTATGTCGAGACCATACAGAATCAAAACTCATTTGCCTTTGAGAATTAATCAATAAAATCCTCGTCAGCAACGTGCCACAGACCACGTAAAAATACAGAAAGTCGGTTTCGAGAAAATGTTGAATTATCTGCATACCTTATAATCGATTTTTCTAACTTCTACTAATAAATTAGCATCTTCAGAATAATTCCAATTAATCCTTGATATCTCCTTTCCGCACTTTACATATTCCACCAATTCCACTGGCCTGAAGTCTTTGGTATAAACATCTGCATCCAGGAATTTACAAATATCTGGTAGGTTGCCTATTGTGGCACTCATGCCAATAATTTGGATATCAGCTGTGTGTGGTAGAAGAATTTACATGTCAGAAAAGGAAACAGTTTTGCTAATATCCATTTTATTTTCAATCCATTTAGCCATGTTGTTACCTTTCAAAAACATTATCTTGGTAAGACATGCTTCTAAAGTAGCTCCTCTGCCTTCCTCTCCAATCAAATGCATCTCGTCTACTACAATAAGCCCTATTTCATGCAATCTCTGATTTTCAATTAGGCTGTTTATGATACCTAAGGCTTTTTCGATAGTAGCCACATATACAGAATTTTTTCGCCGCCTTTTTCGCGGAGGATAGTTGCCTTTGCTTGAGGCGTATTCCTCTACCAAAAAATCGAGTGCAATGCCAAAAGGTGACAGAGCCCAAACCTATGGAATGATATAGCATAAACCAAAATTTTTTTATCAAAATGTCTTCAAGTTGCTATTGAATGTGTCCAAGTAATGTCTACTAACCTTTTCTTGTACAATTGATACATATGGAAGTATAAGAATAGTATTTCTTTTATAACACATTATTTCTCGGAACATAAGTATTTCAGCTACAAGGGTTTTTCCACCACTGGTAGGTAATGCATATATCAAATTCTTCCTATTTTCTATAGCTGGTAGTTTCAAGCATTCATCCTGCCAATCTTTAAAGTTTAAAATGCAGATTAAAACACAAGTAAGGCTACATGCAAATAAACTGGACTAAACATGGACATTTCTACAGTGACGTAGCTACCTTGGGTGGCACCCGGTGCGGAAGTTGGTGGTGTCACCCTATCGAAAGTCAAAAGCAATAAATTTTATATGATTTATAAACGACATGGATCATTGAATATCTATATTTAAAATACTGAACAAATAGCAAAACACAATACAAGACAGAAAAAATATTTTAATCTTACAATTAAAATCTCTTCTTTTTAGCTCTGACAGCTGCAAACTCAGAAATAACTTCATCAAAATTTATATTTTGTGCTGCCTCATGTTCGATGGCTAATATACCAAGGTTGCTAATCTGCGATGGGGTCATTGTTGCCCGCAAATAGTTTTTTATTAATTTTAGTTTACTGACAGGTCGTGCGCTTTTAGGAGCGATCCCCGAATTATACATAGAGCTGAAGAAGACAGCGATTTAATTTTTTTATGTTTGTCCACTGCATTTCTATTAAAGTTGTTGTATGCACAATAATTTATAGACTTTGCAGCTGAATCCACCAAATATCTAATGAAATCACAAAATAAAGAGAAAGGGATAACATATTTCTTTACTTACCATATAGTTCATCAATGCCTTTATAGACTTTGATCAATTCTTTCACTTTGGTTGGCAGCCCATAGAAAGATCCGAGATACTGAAATGACTTACTAACTAAAGTTGCATTTAAAATACTAGAATTAGTCTTGTTTGATGTTCCAGCCTTGTTTGCATTACTGATCAGAGCTTTCTTTATCAGACTACCAAAGCTTGAGTTGAGGTTTGAACAATTCAAAATGCTCTTTTCAATATTCTCATTCTCATTCAACTCCGAGTTAAATATCACTTCAAGAAGTTCATGTGGTACCTCAGTTTCTGCAGAAAATTATTTGATTTGAAAAATGAAAGTTATTTGCAGGGTTTTTTCTTATTCTTACCACTTTCTGTGTTTTCATCACCCATAGCAAAGATGGAATGTTCTATCTGTTCAAATAGATTGTCTACCTCCTTCCTGTAGGTTACAGTGGCTTTCTCATCCTCAAATAGCACAGAATTTTGCAAAATTTTAGTATCCCAATCTCTGGTTTTTAATCTCTCTTTGAATGACAAAAATAGTGGATCTATATTTTGAGTTTTCGTTTGGGTAGGCTGAGTTTTTACCAAAATACTTTTTTCTGAACGTGATGTGGTTTCATCATGCAGTTTTACCTATGTAGAAAATCAATCACACAGTCAAATTATCTAGTATGATACAATATGTTCTGGAGACAATAAAAACATGAAAATGATTGACTTGCTTTCTGTAACTGAATGCTTTCCTGATTCCGCTAACTTTAGCATTACTTTAATATTCAGAATATAAAAATATATTACTAATATTTTGACAAAACTGTAAAAGCTTACTGGAAGATGTTTATTGGTAGAGCAAGGGATGTTTTTATCAATGTCTTTCTGATCAAAGCTTTCTGATGACCCTAAGTCTATAGCACTATCTACTTGTTGGATCATTTGGGTGTTGAAAAACTGTGACAGGATGGTATTATCCTTATCTCCACATGATTCATCTTTCTTAACTGGAACTGATTTTGCCTCATATGTAGTTGAAGGTGTTTTCAAAAAATCTGCAAATGCGTCAAATTCCTTGTTTTCAATCATTGTAATATTAATATCATCTAGAGTATTTTCAAACATATCTTCTGGTCCATCATTCTTTGGGTTTGTTACTGCTAAATTAGGATTGCTTTTAACAACTTTAACCTTCTTCCCCTGAGGTGTACCTTCTCCTTGGCATGTCACAACATCTTTGACATTGTCTGAAAAGTACATTTAATAGATTCTCTGTTCAAGTAAGTTTGAGGTGTCAACTCAAAGTTTATCATGCTTTTTTTAACATCCACAAGTTCTGCAACATCCAAAATTATTTTTCTCCACTCTTTATCTTCTAGTTTTGAACATTTCTCAACTATTAAGATTTTTAATCATTGTTGCAAACTCTATACCCATCTGTGTTGTACTGTCCACACATCTTAGGAAGAACATCTTTCAGATTTTATCTTTTGATATATCATCACTGCTATTTCTTCTTTCTCTAGTGTGTAATATTCATCTGCGTAACCACAGTCAATCAATATGACTTTCATTATGTTCTAAGAATTCTTCCCTGTCCAAAACTCCAATTCCTGATCTACATAATATTCATCACTCCAGTTCTGAATGAGCCTTCATAAAAGCAGGATCCTTTACAGCCTAATGAAAGTCTTAATGACTGTGGATACCAATGAAAATGAATAAAACAAGAATATTTGGATCATTAAAAGATAACCATAGCAAAAATAGAGATATCAATGATGATTTCGATATCTTTTATCTGCAAGATATTCTTTCTAAGATTATTAGCGACAGATGAAAGCATGGATTACAAAAATGGTCTTACATAGCTAGGACATGTATGTAAAATAATTTTATACTATAAGAAGAGATGTTAAATTTCAAGTTGCATACATTCAAGGTGCAATTGATGCCTAAAACTTGCTTGAAGAATTCGATAATTCTCTAGCTTAGTTACACCCGCCGTTTTTTGATGGAAACATGATTTCAGACCCTAGTTTCTGGGTGTAGATGAAAGAAATGGGACTGAAAATGAGCGCAATTATGAAGGTTCTGAAATATTTTACTATGTTTTTATAGAATTTTTGTTTTCATAGGTTGTGTAATATTGCCTGATTTGCAGAACAATGCATAGTATTCCATAAAATATTGAAGTCAACCTTACCGGGTTTAGGTTTGCCTATTTATATATTATTTACCTGTGTTATTAGTCGAGAGCTGATTTCTTTTTCGTTTGTAGCAGTCACCTTTTGCGTTGAGCTCTTGGAAATCAACAGCATTGAAAATTGAATCATTTGAATTTAACAGATCTATATTATCCATGCTTCGAGGCAAATTGGTGAATATTAAAAAATAAAATGTAAACGATTAATTAAAAAAGGAAAACAAATATAAATAATAAGCAACAAAAAGTTAGGTTAGGAAGCGTTTTTGAAATTCAAAAATAGAGCATGCGCATCTTCCTTTAGGTAGATGTCGCTGTACTCCAGGATTCGTGAAGGTTGAAGGATGTGTGAAAGATAAAAGTGTGGTTATGTGACAACTTCCAGAAAAAAATTATTTACCTATTTGGGTCTTTATGTTATTTGTATTAATATAATCTTGCAGTTTATAAGGCAGGCAAGAAATGACTATTTTTATATCTAGAACAACCCGTATGTAAGTATAAACTTTCATCTTCCACATTTGATAGTATAAAAAATTAATGCAGGTTGTTCACAATCTGTTTTTTCATTCAAGAGAAACTGAAGACAAAAATTACATATAGTTACATTGCAGAAGATCATTTTTATTCAATTATGTTTAAGCTATATTATATCAGATTACATCATCGGATTAATCTCATATAAAGGATCATCACTTTATTCCTCAGTAGTGTAGTGTCTTGTGTGATATCTTAAAGCTGTATCATCTTTGCATTTGATAGGTTCTAGATTACGTAGCTTTGCAAACCATCATTATTACAGACATGTTCTAGTAATGATTTTTAAATGATTGGCAACTATCATTTTGAGTTCACCAAATTAATTTTCAAAAGAACATTGCTCACTGGTGTCAGAGCCAGCTTCAGAGTTTTATGTGCTGTGATTGAAAGGATTAAATATGTGTGCACCACCCTCAGATTGATTGAGAATTTTGTGTCCTCCATGATGCTGCGTTGCACCCTGGGGCAGCTGCCTCACTAGTTTGCAGCTGGCCTTGACTACTGTATATTTACTAATCTTGAGTGGTTAACTCTTTCAAACCATCCACAACCATCAGAAGTTTGTTACAACAAGCCCAGTACATGTATTATGTTACTACATTGGTTGGTATGAGATTACTCATTTGGAAAAAATCTATAAGTGGAATCAGAATGGATGAGATAGACTGTTAGATATGCAGCATAATACGAGGGTGGTCCCATAGGTATCCGGCCTGACCTAGAGATGGCGATAGTTGTTTCAAAAATATCATTGTATTAGAATGTATGCTACCTATAAACCATATGTGTCAAGTTTGAAGACGCCATGTTGTTTAGTATTTGTTTGGCAGCCATCAATACTGAACGGTTCAGTGAATTTGTGAAAATGGAGAAAATTGGTCATCATTGTTACATGATACAATACTTTTATTTCAAAGGCCTCAGCCCAACCAATATAAAAGCTGAACTGGATTCTACTCTGGGTTAGTCTGCTCCTTCATTTACAACAGTAAAATATTATGTAGCAGAGTTTGTTTACAACAGTAAAAGCAGTAGCAGAGTTTAAACGAAGCCGTATGAGCTGCCAAAACGAGCATCGCAGTGGTCGACCCAATGCGGTTCATCGCATTTTATCTGAATATTTGGACATGAGAAAGCTGTGTGCAAGATAGATGCTGCGATTGCTCACAAACAGTGTCGTGAAGATGTTTCAATTGAGTGTTTAGCGAAGTTTCACAGCAACAAAGCAGAATTTTTGCGTCGTTTCATAACCATGGATGAAACATGGGTCCATCACTTCACAGCTGAGACAAAAGAACAATCAAAACAATGGACTCAAAAGGGACAACCGGCTAGAAAGAAGGTGAAGACAGTTTCATCTGCAGGCAAGGTTATGGCGTTGGTTTTTTGGGATGCGCGTGGGATAATTTTCATTGACTATCTTGAGAAAGGTAAAACTATCAATGGCGAGTATTATGCGAACTAATTGCAACGTTTGAGCGATGAAATCAATCAAAAACGGCCGCATTTGGTTAAGAAGAAAGTGTTGTTTCATCAAGACAATGCACCAGCTCAGAAATCCGTTATTGCAATGGCCAAAATTAACGAATTAAAGTTTGAATTGCTACCTCATGCACCCTATTCACCAGATTTAGCCCCCTCGGATTATTTTCTGTTTCCAAACTTAAAAAAATGGCTCAGTGGTCAAAGATTTTCCAACGATGAATAAGTGATGTCGGCCAGTCCTTGGCTATTTTGAGGAGCAAGACAGTTCTTATAATAAAGAGGGTATCGAACTTATTGAACATGGCTGGGAAAAGTGTATAGAGCTCAAAGCAGATGGTGAAACATAAATACATTTTTTTACAAAAATTTTGTGTTTTCTTCGTTGGGTCGGGTACTTGTGGGTGCACCCTCTTATGTACTTCCTAAGTCATATATATTAGATATAATTAGTTTTCACTTCTAGTTATTTTGAGTAATTTTAAAGCAGGTTCAAAGATTAATTTTTAATACTGTATGTTAGTGTTTTTATCAGTGACCTTATCTATGGTATACTACTATATACTAATGACCTGAAATTGTTTATCTGACATCTCATCTGAAACCACTCAACATTTTACAGACCTATTTTGCGTAGGTCTGATAGCTAAGTGAACATCTGTACACAAAACCCTTCAGTTCTTCAAATGTTCAATGCTCAAGAGACTTTTTGTGTGACACAGTATTAAAATGTGTAAACTTCGTAGTTAATTTAATATAATAATGTAAACAAATTATCAAAATTTAGGTAAACAGATCTTGGTAGTTCAAGCTTGTTTTTGTTTAGGTGGAAAATTCCATTTGGAAATTCTCAGAAATGTTACAGACAGTTTTATTTTCCACAAAAATAGTATATTTGCTACAACAAACAACATTTCTGGAGAAAACATTATGAACCTATGTTCCATTATACTCGTGAAGAGTATTATTCTGTTATTAATGTAACTTACACTTATCCTGTGATTGTCTTGCTGATTCATCTTCATGTTTTGCTGACTGATTTAAATCACTGATGTTGAAGACAGACTAACTAACCTTTTGAGAGGTCCCAGCAGTCTTGATCAAAAACAAGTCAATGGATGTAGTTCAACCTGCCTTCTACCTGGCAGATTATTTTATAATTATTAAATGTTGAAGCATAATATCCATATTTTTGTATCTCTTATCCTCAAATTTGAATTCTTTTTTACATAATTAAATTAGTGCATGGGTATTATAATCTTGAGATGTGCTTATTGTATTTATGCTTATTTGGAGCCAATAAAAACATTTTCCATAGCATACCAGGCATTTGTTAGAAAACTACATTATGTAGAATCAAAGCTCAGCTGTATCTTATCAATGATGTCTTATAACTGTAAATTATATTTAGGATCTATGATAAATGGAGAGTGAGGAACCCAACAATCTATTTTGTAACATATAATCATTACAAATCGAGAAAATAATTATTCTCTATCCTAATGAATTTTAGGATGTGAAGTACAGGCAAACATGTTGACACTTGTTTTGTATGGCATTTCATTTGATAGCTTTTTCATAACAATATGATAGTTTCCCTATAAATTGGAGATGAAAGAAATAGAATGAGGGTATTTTAGTGTATCAGGTTAAATATTTTATTGGTGAAGAATTATCTTAAAATATTTTGGAAGATTGAATTATTTCTGTAATACTTGCTAGTCTTTCAACATACTGCGATTATTTTAGGGTGGTTCAGCTATATTGCTACACATGTTTGATATGTGTGGCCTATTTTCATGTATTGCTGTAATACATGCCAAACTATCAGAATCCTACTTAGTGTAAAGTAATGTAAGCTGCCGCGACATGTACAGTTTCGTCATTCATTCTTACCAGATATTTTGTAAATTTAAATGTCTTCACATTGCAGAAAATATATATTAGTGTGCCATACTTCAAATTCTTGAGGTTTCTTTTTGACCCTCTTTTAAAAGTTGGCAGATATCAATAAGACACAATCATAGATTATGCCTGTTTCATTCTACGTCTTTGCTGTTTATTATGATTCACCCTCAAGCAAATATTCAAACAGAATAAATGAAAATAGAAATGATGAATGCACAGTGGAAGTATTTGTATCTTAATAGCAGCTATAAAGTCATGTTAAGCTTCATAACTACTTTTTTCCCTATAATTGCTTCATCCACGAGTACCTCCTTCAAATATTCGCAAATTCATGGAGTGTGATTATCAATTTGCTGTCGGTCATGGCTATGTCGACATAATTATATGGATATTAATTACTCGTGTCTCACTATATTTGAATGAAAAAAAGCCTGGATATGAGCATTTATCATTTCAAAGCTGATAAATCAACAGAAAAATCTTATATGCTTGTGACAAATGACGTAATTTACTCATATTGAAAAAACAGACAATCCATTGTTATCAGTAAATATTTTGACCTTTTTATTTACAGGTTACGGATATATCCCATACTCCATACTAAGGAGCTTATTACGCAAAAAACTCAAATCTTCGGCAGGCAGACATCCAGTGCTAAATCAGAGAAATCCAGTAAGTTCGAACAAAACACATGCGCACTACAGCAGACAATAAAAAATATGACTCAGAAACTCATTATGTTTGCAACCATAGTTGTCGAACACATAATTACAAAGTATCAGCAACTGTAGTTGGTATAGTACACAGATTTTTCAGTTGGCAGCGTGGCAGCAATGGTTGCTGTTAGAGTGAGTCGCAGTTTTTTACGTGACGAGTAATTTTTTATTGGACTTTGAATTCTTGAAAATAGAGCAACTGTAAGATTTCTGAAATTCACTATTAAAGGTTGAACTTCGTTAAAGATCTTTGCTTCTACAGCTATCAGATTTGAACTATCTATCATAAACATGAAGTTGTTGTGGCTAAACACCAGCTGATAAACACCCCCCAGCATGGCAACTTTTCATCATAAATGTTTACCTGACACTTCAAGGAAATTATTGATATTAGATAGCTGGTGATCTCAATACTTTTGTTTGTCAACAAATGACGTTATATTGTACGGCTAATGCGCAAAAAGACTTGTTAGATTGAAGTGAGAAATTCTCTTTATGAATTCCGTAATGAGCAATGGAGCGACTTTCTGGCGGGTATGCTTGACTCAAGAATTCCTCCCTGAGAAGTTGCAAAGTGGCTCAGAAACGGAAAGCGAGAATAACTCAGCACATCCACGGTCCTGGAGGCATAATGTTTAGGACAGAGGACAAGGTCGAGGTTTTCGCTGATGCTATGGACAGACGGTTTTCCCCAACTATGACCTTGATAATTACCTCGACACATTGTCCATCAGGAGACATTTCAGTGCCAACGGTGTTAGTGGTAGCAGCGCCTCAATTAGTGATTTTTCCTCAGAGTAGTTTCAGGTTAGGCAGAGCTTCAAGGTTAAAGACCTGGAGAGGATCGAATCACTAATAAGGCGGTGAAGCTGCTTTTGCGAAAGTCCTTAACTTGACTCGTGGTAATAATCAATGTCATGCTAACTACCTAGTACTTCCCAGCGGCGTGGAAGATCCCTAATTATATATTGATTTCAAAGAAGGTGGGTTCGATATTCTCCCAGGATTACCGACCCATTAGTCTACTGTCACATTGAACATTTCTCGTCAGGCCATAATGTCAAAAGGGCTTCCCCTTCTAGCTCCTAAAAAAAATAATAACGTTCTGTCGACAACACGGCCCTGGACAACGCCGGTGTACCTCATGATTTGGTTCTTCGACCAATCCTTATTTCAGTTTTTATTCATGAGACCCTTGCCCCAGCAACTGTGACTCTATGCCGATGACACTGGCCTGGTGGCCGTCTTCTGGGAATCTGGTTCTCGACAGGCGACAAAGTACGGCGGACGAGATATTGGAATGGACGGCTCGGTGGTTGATCAAAATTAATGATCATTTTTATTTTGATTAATAAAACGCAGGCTATCTATTGTACTAAAAAAGGTAGTGGCGCCCCGACTGCGGTTTCAGTGAACGGACCTCGGGTACCATGGGAAAGTTCTGCTAAGTATTTCGGTGTCACTTTTGACAAGGGCATGACCTGTCAGAGGCACACCGAAGCGTTAAAAACTAAGTTCCAAAACACGTTTCGGCAACTCCACCCTGTGCTATGTAGAACCTCAACATTAACCAACCAAAAATGAAATTGTTCTTCAACCAATCTCTAAATTAATATTAGGATCAATATAAAATTCCCGAATACTAGTTAGCAATGCCAAGGCACCCTTCAAATTGACGCACTTCTTTCTTCATTGCTCTCCTTACTTTCTTTCTTTCTTCTTCCTTTCTCCCTGAACTTTGTCTGGTATTTGCTCAACCAGACCTGACAGACCTACTGACTTACAATACTTCAACCAAGAGCAAAGGTCCTATGACCGCTCTGAAACAAAATTTCATAAATGGGTGACAGAGTGTCACTTCCTAACACATATCAGTCATCAAGGCAGAGCCACAAACCTCTAAATTAGATTCGTTGATTCATAACCTATATTAGGAATAAAACGTTGCGATTGATTTCATGAATGAAAGCAAAAGTAAAAAAGTTAAAAAATCGTGGTTGCTTTTCACGATAGCCTTATCGATCAAAATAGCATAATAGGTTAGTTTCTAGTTCCGCATGGCGATATCTCTTTACTCATACCACTATATTGATTGCCGTACTATTATCAAATATGAACAGTTATCGGTAGACACTATTTATTATTTTTTCAATTGGCGATCAACAACTACCGTTGTCACTGGTCATATTTGGTTGTTAGTGAACTTTGTATCCTATGCCTGTGCTTGATGTCCATTGGTCAGACATGTTGATATCATTCATATTTTGAATTAATTGGTTGTCAACAGCTAAGACGACCCCTTGTGGGAATCTAAGAAGTAGCATAAAGGAATAGCAAAAAGAGCACAAGAATTATTATCATTGACAACAAATAAATGATAATAATAACTGATAGCAATACTCTAATCGCTTAACCAGATGCTTCTGTAGTGATACTGTTCTCAGTAATGATAGCTTATCACAGCTTATTTCTGATAAGACATTCCTTATAAAAACTCGCGTGAATCGTGATGGAACTTTTACATTGATTTTGCGCTTTGGTGGTAGTATACAAGTAGAGCTCGAAGAAAGAAAAATCATGGAGAAGATGCGATATTTCGACTGTGCATTTTTATTGTGTTGTGTTTTGCTAGAGAAAGGTCGGGAAACCCAAAATACGATTAGACGGTATTTTTTATTCAATATTTCTAGTGGTAACTTAGATTAAGCATAAAAATAATGTCGAATCCACTCCAAACGTAAAAAAAATATATTTTGCTCCAGGATGTTCTATTAATCCAACTGTAGACACTAGTCTTCTGATGTGCTACAATTTTCCATTATCTACACAGGGAAGCAAAACAGTTATTATTCCTACTCCAAATAAAACTATTTATTTTCAAAACAATCAAAGGCGATTTTCTTAAGCAAAAAAAAACTCTTTAACATGTTCTGAATCACTATTGGAAAGGATTCGGCAAGCAGCACTAAGTAGGCTTATTGATAGATATGTTATCTTTGTTTCTTAAATGGCGATCGGCATAGCGCTGCTTCCGCTTCTTCATGGAATATTACATGTGTGTTCTTAATGATATGATTATTATGTGTTTATTTCTGAGGGACAAATAACCATATCTCGTTTATCATTACGTTAGTTTCAAATAATAGATCTGCAACGTTTTAATTCTCAAAAATATTTTGCACAATTTTTGTATTGCCTAAGAGAAACCAAAAGACAAGTGAAATATTGTAAATATTTTTTTCGACCTATATCCACATTACGAAAAATTACGTAATTAATTCTCGTCTATCTGACTAGCGGCGACGAAATGTATATTATAAAATCGGTCAAGTGGCGGCAGAATTCAGCAGATGACAATTTCTGGTACCACATGAAACTGCTTTTCGTACACATGCTCTTTGAGCTTCCAGTTATTTGGTAGTAGTTAGAAAGTTTATAATAATAATATATTATTGGTGAAAGTTGTTCAAGGGGGAATTTAAAACATGGACGCATAAAATGGGTACACCAATTTTTATGGGAAAACTTTTTATTTGACAACAAAGAATGAGAAAACGTGTTTTTTTGGAATCAATCGAAAGTGTTGACAGGAACAGAAAAACTGTTCATATAAGATTTTTAGGTATTTATGAGACATTCAAAATGAGACCACACGTAAAAAGATCCGACTAATAGGAAAAATGTTATGTCCGAAAAACGAGTCAAAATGCAGGTTTTGGCACTAGGTAATGCGACGATAATTTTACGCAACTACTTGAAATTCTTCAAATCCGTAGGATTCATACTTCTAAATAACAAGAACAAAATTGGATCATATTGGTCGAGTAGTTTTTTGAAATTTCTAATTGGTTATCCCAAAACACCTGTTCTCCTGCTATCACTACTAGTTTATTGAGCAATATACCGGGTTGGTTCAAAGAGCATTGAATATCAAAATATACGGGTTTACCTTGCCCATATGAATCACAAACCATTCCGAAAGATGTGTTTTGCTATGAAATGCCCTTTGAACTAACCCTATCTATTGCTCAATAAACTAGTAGTGATGGCCGGAAAACAAGTGTTTTGTGATAAACAATAAGAAATTCTCAAAAAATACTTGACCAATCTACTCCAATTTTGTTGTGGTTATTTAGAAGTACGAATCCTAAGAATTTGAAGAATTTCAAATATCTGCTAGAAACCATCGTTGCATTACCAACAAGTACCACAACCTGCAGTTTGCCTCGGTTTTCAGCCATAGCTTTTGCTATTAGTCGGATCTTCTTACGTATGATCTCATTTTGTAGGTCTCATAAATACCTAAAAAACTTATATGAAGAGTTTTTTCGTTCCTGCCAACACTTTCAAAAAACACGTTTTCTGATACTTTGTTGTCGAATAAAAAGTTTTCCCAATTTTATGCGTCCATTTTTTGAATACCCCTTTGAACAACTTGCAGCAATAAAACCAGACTTTACAATTATTTCGCGAACCAGGGGTATTTTCGTCTAATATGATTAGACTACTAATAAAAAATTATGAAGCAGTTTATGTTTGCATTATTCGAGCGTAGATTTATATTAGTGCATAGCAAGTGCTGATTACTACTACTCACCTTAATGTTTTCATTGTCAGGTTCGCCGTATTATTTTTCCTTGTAGATTATAAGTAGTAAATACCATAAACCTTTTTTTTCACCGAAGATCGTATCCAGTATCAAAAAGGCAGATGCAGTTGTTTTAATATTAATATTTCGTAACAGGATCGGTAGAATGGAAGAGTATAGTAACAGGATTCATGCCAGTAGGGCTGTGCTTGGTAGCTGTGATGCAATGGCGAGCCTTCAGAAAGAGACAAAGCGAAACAATAGCTTCAAAGTGGGAAATCAACTGCTACTGTATGTTACCACTTAGAACAGTATCCAGGGCTTGGGGATGGATTGCAGGTAATTATATTCCCATATAATTCACGACTGCAATTTGCTATATTCGATAGTGCCTATGCCCATAACCTCAAAAAAAATTCAATATCCCTACAAAGGTTGCAGATGACATTATCTTGGTATATTAACATGAAATTCACTTTTCTCTTGAATTACAGACATCCAGTTGCCAAAATTTATTCGGCCAGTGATTTATGGTCTATACTCTCACACTTTTGGAGTTAACATATCCGAGGCACAACCTGAAGATTACACGCACTACTCGAGCCTCTCAGAATTTTTCGCCAGACCATTGAAAGATGGAGTTAGGGTGATTGACCAAGACTGTTGTATGGTTTCGCCTTGCGATGGGACGGTACTACATTTTGGTACCGTAGACACTGAACACGTCGAACAAGTAAGACGATAGTTTCATTATGATACTCTGTATACTCGGTTACTGAAAAGTGCACTGTATAGACTCACAATATGTGAAAAAATCGCTTACCAAAAGAAATACACTACAGCTACCTCGGGCAGCCATCCATCTGTCAATTCACATTTTGAATGTAAGTTTCCGTGACTCGTGGGTTCACGTAACGTGAGACTATATTTTAGCCTCAATAAGTAAATATAATTTGATTGTATGTTGCTTTTCTTTTTTATGATGATCGCATTTTACCTTATAGATCATAGTCCAAGATATTTTTTGTAGGTAAAGGGTATTACTTACTCTTTGAAGGACTTTCTGGGCGAGCAGTCCTGGAAGCAAAATGACTCGAATACAACTAATTACAGGCATTCCCTGTTACATAAACCTGACGTTGGAAATACATTGTATCAGTGTGTCATTTACTTAGCTCCTGGAGATTATCATAGGTAAATATTATACTCACCTACTACTATTCGAAAATAAGTATTATATTTCCCATATGACTCACTTCCTGTAAGCACAGATAGTACAGATTTATAGTTTACAATGTTTGATAATATTGCTCATAGGAAGAGTGCATACACTTCCAGGTTCTTTGGTAAAATTCAAAAACCAATTTAAAAACCAATGATGCTGAGCTGTGGGGGATTTATTTATTTACTATAGGTAAAGATATGACTTTGGCCTCTGCTCTGCTTATCAATCGAATGGCATAATTCCAGACGCAAAGCTGTCTGTCAACATTCAGGAAAACTGATAACCATAGGATGTTGATTGCAGCACAGACTTGTGATTAAAGAACATACTTTTAAATGTCGCGGATCGAATAATTTTTAGAATTAGTAACGTCTCGGGTCCATTATAGTGCAAAATTTCGATGCTTATTCTATTCGTGGTAGATTTAAATTCGTACAGAAAGTCAAGCTTCAAAGTAATATTAATGTGATTGTGTACCAAGTTCCTTCAAGATTTGACATTTCTACACTAAACGCTTTGTTTCTTATTTGATTGATAATATTAATGTAGAATGTTATCTATGAACTAACAATAACAACTGGTTTTGAACCGTTTGAAATTGTGTTATATTATAGTCGTATTGGACAATTTTGTTTTCGGCATCTTGGGACCTCTCTGTAACTTGTATTATTTATTCTTTAAATGATTTTTATTTCGGTATAAAGAAATACTGCTTCTCATGTTAATTTGAATGCGTTCGTTTTCTTCAGATTTCACTCTCCGACAGAATGGAAACCGACGCATCGTCGCCATTTTGCCGGTGAATTGCTCTCTGTCAGTCCCAGTATTGCGAAATGGCTGCCAGGACTATTTTGCTTGAATGAACGCGCTGTATACCTAGGCCACTGGGAACATGGATTTTTCTCTTACACCGCAGTAGGTACGTTGTCATCCAATGTTCTTACTTTCCGTAAGATTATATTAAGCACCCGGTGTCGTATAAAATGAACTTTAAATACTGTCACTGTACTGAGGTATAAATATCCTGAAATACCACACTTTTTCTGCCCTCCTTCCTCTTTGTTCTTCTTACCTTTCTTTCTTCCTAACTTTTTTGCTGACAACTTTTGATCTACATGCCAAGAGCAAACGACCTACAGACTTCAGCTGCCAACCGCAACTATTTGTTTGTTGAAGATTTATTTAGCATTAATACTACAATGTCAATTTTGTATAATTATTTGCTTACATATTTTTCTTCAATCCATTTTATGCAATTTTACATTTCTTGTCTATTAAAATTACATCACTATGCATTTTGAGTATTCATAAAGTGATTTTTTAATTTCACCTTAAACATTTTTAAATTCGAACGCTTTAATATCATTATTCAATTTATTAAATTCAAATACTCCCTTTTGAAATATAGATTTACTAGTTATGCTACTATTACAATTTTGCAGATGAAAATATATACTGCCTCTAGTTTCATAGTGATGATGACTATTTAATTTTGTAAAGTTTTCTAAATGTGGTGGTAATAAATGATTTTTGAATTTGAATATGAAAACGAGAACTAAATAACATATGAAAATTTTCACATTCAACCACTGTAGTGCTTCTAACATAAACTTAATCCTAGCATATTTAATTTTATTTAAAATTTCTCATAGCTTTATTTTGTAATTTTGAGAATATGTTTTCATTTGCTGTAAACAAGATGGTTGAACAATATAAAAAAGATTTATAGAGTGTTATACACATTTTTTTTTGAATGCCTAATAAGATTATGGGAAACTCTATAGAAGTAATTTATCTTTTTGATATTTTTGAAATAATGCTCGTGGAACAGTAGTTTACTTTCCACATATCTACCGAGATATTTAAATGATTCGACTACTTCAATTTTTTCCTCATTAATCACGAGCCCAATTGTATTGTAAATGTTTCCCCTACTGACATAAATTTTGTTTTATTAGTGTTTAATCTAGGTTTATTAACATTTAACCAATTCATATTTTTTTAACATCACTATTTAATAGTTCTAAAGCAGTGTCCAAATGCTTATGTAATAATAATAATTTATTGGAGCTATTACACAGTAAGTTGTTTGCACAAGTCAGCTTAAGTGTGTAAAACATAAAATAGTAAGTAAAAATAACAAACAGTACGTAAAAGAGACAAACATAAATCACAAAGTGGCAATAAAAGCTAAATAAAGAGTTACTAAAATTAACGTTAAAATTTAGATTAATAATAAATAGATTTGGTTAAAAAATAATAAATGGGACTAATTACAATAAAAATTATGCCAGGCTGAAAAAATTGGAGTTAAGGAACTCTTCTACATCAAAAAAAAGCTTCAGATAGTAGGAAGGATTTAATAGTTTTGCCAAATTGTTCAACATAAAGAGATTTTATTTGATTTGGCAATAGGTTGTAGAATGTATTTCTGAGCTATATATATATATATCAATGTATCATCCGCAAATATTTGAATTATGCAGTGTTCTAAAATGTCAGAGATTTACATAAATAATAAACAGTAACGGCCCTAATTTACTCCCCTATGTTACACCCACCGATATATGTTGAACACTTGACATAATATTTCACACTTCTATTTACTGAATAATTTTGTAAAATGTTTAATACAGATCCTTGAAAGCCATAGTGATGAAATTTCATTAATAATTTTCCCTATCTATAGTCTCAAATGCCCTTTTGAAGTCTAAAAATACTGTTACAATACATTCTTTCTCATCTATACTTCTTCTCCAGTCTTCCACCACCATTTGGATTGCTGTTTCTGTAGAAATTGTTTTTCTAAATCCAGCTTGATTGTTTCTTAAAATTTTGGTTTATTCAATAAATTCAATGATTTGTTCATATATTATCCCTTCAAACAGCTTCACAACATCTGGCAAGACTTTAATCGGTCGCATATTTGTATACAGCTCAGAATGTTGAACTTTTGGCACAGGAGTAATGGTGGAACACTTTAATTTTGATGGAAATTCACCACGTACTAAAGAATGATTCACCAATAACAATAATTTCTCTCTAATTATATTGAAACAGTCATTTAGAATCTTATTAGAGAAATATTTTAACATACTCTAAAGGCCCTGGGACGCATGAGATGTTAGTACAATTTTCACCAGTGTTTCCTCTCTAAAAATCGATATTGCCTATGAGAAATCATTTTTGTGGTCGCGGACAATACAATCAAACTTGATACATTATACTTTTCTAGGCGCAACAAACGTGGGTACAGTTAGGGTGTACTTTGACAAAACTCTGCAGACGAACATTCACAAAAAGTCTGCTCCTATGAAAGAGATATGCCTGGGTAGCGCGGTGGATCTGAAGCGTGGAGACCCAATAGGTGAATTCCGAATGGGCTCTACCATTGTATTGATCTTCGAGGCACCCATTCACTTCAATTTCTCGATTTTTCCGGGGGATAAAGTGAAAATGGGACAGAGGTTAGGTTTGGTTCATCACCAAAGATTTCAAGACAGGATCTCACATGAAAAGTCTGATGGTGGGTACGTTACGATGAGAAGTGCCAGTTAAAACTGTATTATACTGTAATTTTATTTTAGGATGTAGGTATTCATGCATTGTGATATTTTTGTATTAAATAAAGATTATATGTAAATCGTTTAAAGGTTTATCATTTTTATATAAAAAATCCAAATTTAAGAACATAATGACATGTATTGCCTATTCTTGAAAACAAAAGAGTAGAAGCAATGAGAGAGAGTGGGGGAGGTTCTCTTCCCTGGGGAATGATCGCGAATTCTGACACTTGGCTGACGCTCGTCAAACAAGTTTGTGAATTTAAAATGATATCTGTAGCTCAGAGGTAAACAGAGTAACCAGTCTCAAGTGCAGTTCGATACAAATCCGAGTTAATATCACTATTAAGTTACATCATTTTGGCTTTTATTGTAGCAAACAATCGTAAGCATCAGATTGTTGGTTATCAGTATTTGTAACTATAAAAGTGTAATAAGACCATTTAAACTTGTGTTGATATCTTTACTTGTTTATCTCATTCATCGTAACCATGCTTTTCCGATTTACGACTATTTACCTCTGAGCTAAAAGGATGTTCCTGAGTTCTTTACGTCACTAAAAGTTCTTTTGCAAAGCTAATTTTGCCTTAGAGTTGATACTTATGGATGACGGCGAAACTTTTGCACTTTTTCTGCTAAGAGTGACTCCGGAATTCAGTTTCGCAAAGAGAACTACGCCCACTTTCACGCAGTTATTCTACTCGTTCGGTTCAAGAATCAGCTGTATGGTCTTCACATCAATGGTAAGTTGATAATTATCTAGAGCAAAGGTATTGAAAAAGGGAATATATTTTTTTTGAAATTTTATTAATCATGGAAACAAAATGTAAAAGATCATTCGAAAATAAATGTTTCGTCGCTCACATCAAGCAGTGTATCTCACTTTATATATTTTACAGTAGATCTGAATTTTGCATTTTTTATATCAGATGTCTATTTTTTTTTTACTTTCCATGCCTACTGGCGAGGAATGAGACGAAAAAATTTGAAAATGAGATATTGTTTATTGGATTTTATGTGGCATTTACATCACGAAAAACCATGTCACTCATTTCCGTCGGTCTGTCCGTTAATCCTTGGCCCGTCTATAACTTGGAAAGTAGGGTCGGATTTTGCTAAAATTTTCGCACAAGATTACTACTTTGTCAAGGATGAAAAAGCTTCGTGGTCTTTGAAAATAGCTCCAGTGGCGGCAGAGAAAAAACGGAGTGAAAAATTGAATTTTTTGATATAAGTATATTTATACGCTCCCAACTTTGGTAATTCTACCCACCTATTGGACATGTTGTACACATAATAGATTTCCCCGAACATTTGCACTTAAAACTTATAACGCTAGAGAAATGCTTTGGATACGCGTCCCTGCTTCTGCTGTCTGGGATCACCGTTGAACGTACTGACCTTGGTAAGTGTTCTTGCCGTACTGCCGCGTTGTGCGGTCAGGTATCGGGGACAGGCGATCTTGCCAGATGGACTAACGGTAGGGCAGATAAAAATATATATGCACTGTGTAGGCGTTTGACTGACTTGATCCGTTTAATTTCTCTATTATACATGTTGGCAACTAACGTTTTTCTTAAAAGGTGTGGGGGCTCTACCTGAACTTCCTTCATGAACTGAGGACGGCATTGCGTGGCAAGTGCAGAGTCAACCCACTTGACGCCATTTTTTTATACTCATGAGATGAGCGACGGCATCACGCATTATAAAAGAAAGTAAATCTATTTTCTTCGAAATCAAACATTATTTTCAACCTCGTCATCTGTTTATAAAACATAGTTATTGGTTCAGGTAGCTTAAAGCAAAAGCGCAAAGTTTATTGGGCTACTTCGGAATGACTAGACATATGCACCATTAAATTTCTCATAGTTTTGTAGCTACATTCCAACACTTCACCAGTAACAGATAAAATAGGGTCAGGATCAGTGGCGAAGCGTCCATGTAACCATTGTTACCATTGGTAACAGTTAAAAATCTTAAAATAAATATTTTATGACTAAGTACTGAGAAATAATTTCATTTATTTGTTTACCAACAGCGATATGTAATAGTAATTCAGTACATAGCAAATTAGCCCCACGAAAATAATACGCCCTATAGTGTCTAGGTTTTGCGAACACGATGAAGCTGACTTGGTTGTCGGTTACCATTTTCATTTATGGATACACTTGGTAGTCCGTCGGGGACCTTCGGTGCCGGCTCGTGTCTGATCCCGGTCGCCCGAGTGCGTGGGGCGCTGCGACTATTATGTGGGCTTGTTACCATTTTTTGATTTGGTTACTCACTTCTCACTCGTTCGTAGCCGTTTTGGTTACCGGCTGTAGTGTGCGTGCAATTAAACATGGATGAGTGTCGCTGCGTAATCGATCAACTACTTGAAAAGTCATTCTCCTTGTATAATTTTTGGGAAAAAAAAAGAAGATCATTGAAGATGGAAGACCAACACCTATTTTAGATAATTTTAAAAGGAATAAAAAAACGTAGTTTGATATTTTAAATTAAGTTGGTATATGGAAACTCTTGGTTATGTGGTTGTAAAAAACAGATTGTATTGTTGTGGATGTCTTCTGTTTTATACAGAAAAAAATGGGTGGACCAGCAGCGGAGTCAGTTTAAATAAAATACCTAAGATAAGCAAAAACTTATATTTGGGAGGTTCAAGATAAACTTTTTTTAATAAGATTTTTCACATCTGGTTTTGGTAACAGTTTAGGAAAAGTCACGCGTCGCCACTGGTCAGGATGTATTTCTATTATGTGGCTATCTGATTCTCGATCTCCAAACAGAACACTATCACAGTATACTTATTGAAAACCTAGGTTATTCGTAACAGAATGGACTTTGGTATGTAAATTAATGTCGCCTGGTACGGGAAATTGGTATACTGAACAAGTAATTGAACTAACAAACTCGGTGTATTTTTCAACAATGTGGTTAACTAGTGCTGCTTTACTTCTAAATATTGCACTTCAATGTGAGCATGTTCTAAATTTATTACGATCAGTTGTTTCTAAATGCTGTAACATATGCTTATATATAAACTATATTTACTATCTGCCTTATACAAACACTTCTCACCCGGATATACGAGTGCATAAATGAGCATTCTTGGCATTCATGTATTATGCTTGTAACTGACGCCACGAAATCAGGGTGTTTTTTCAAGACGTGGACGTCTAACGCCGGTTTATCTTCAAACGAAGTTGAACAATGTAAGCTTTGGATATGTGAGGGCACAACGTCTCTAGCAGGCGCTTTGGGATGTGTACTCATACGCCTTGCAAAATCACGTCTCTTGACAGCTTTGTACGAGTAGAACGAACACATGTATAGCTTACTTGTAACTGAAGTGATGCAATCAGGGCGGTTTCGAAGGATATGGTGGTCTCGAGCTGGTTTACTTCATTTCACTGCTGGCTTTATCAAGGTCTGTTAACTTGTGTGGCGCAAAACTAAACATTCTGACAGTTTTGCATGGACAGTACATCCGTATATTTTGCTAGTTACTAACGAAATGATGTCACGCCTTTTTTTTGTTAATTAATGAAACAATGATAAATACTATCTAACGCTTAGTCCAAGCAAAACAGTTGTCTAGTGGCGTGCAAATTTAGACCCTAGCTCAATAAAGCGGAGAGTAGGGGGCGGGGGGGGGGGGGGGTTAAGAGCGCCAATACTTAGGACGGATTAAGCCACAACTCCCCGAGATGTTAGTCGGAACTTGTTTTGCTTGACCACCACACAAAAGGAGAATCTAACAGAGATGACGAAATTTAAGTAACAGTACACACAGAGAGAGCCAAACAAAATGAGATATTAAATGAATCACAATATATTGATTGATAAAAAAACGCACATGTACTCCACTACTGGAGTGCGAGTAATAAAAAAAAGAAAGGATGTTATAAATCTTAAACACAACCTGACAAAATTATTTTTTGAGATAACCCCGCGAAACGTCTACCATGGTATACACCCGAAGTATTTTCAGATATTTTGAGCCTAAATATTAAACTTATCTGTAGGTCTCCTTTGTCAGACGCGGCCGAGATGTCCTCAACTCTGGTCAAAAAGTAGTCAGTAGTGGTCACGTCACTGGGAACAAGGCTGCTTGCCTCGTTGCCAAAAATTATGGTAGTAAAGAAAAAAAAGCCTAGAGAGAGAAAGACTGTTTAAAAATCTGCTCTACTCTCTGTCTGAGATAAAGCTACTCATTGAAAAGAATCGCGCTTGAAGCAAAACCATGTAAATTTTTTTGTGCAAGAAAAGTAAAGCAAAGGCAAAAAAAAGATAAAAATGTGCTAAACTAATATACCCTTGTTCTAAAAAGTAATCATGATCAATGTAATAGAAGGTGCCTAGTAGGCACTGCCCCATATTTGAATGCGTAGAATGTCCAATAAAATCAAGAATGTATAAAGATATATGAAATTGTTAATTAGAATGATATTTTACCTGTTCACATCAGGTTTTTTTTTCAAGGGAATGGCTTCCATAAATTTGCAAAACTGCAACAAGATGCAACCAACTGGAGGAGAAAGATGATGATTCTCTTCTATTTCTATTGACTAAAAGAAAGCAAATATTGAACGAACTCCATCAGGACACGCATTAAGGTCCGAAGGTATATAAAAAAGAACTTACCGCTGAGAGTCAAAATCCTATAAAAAATGCAAGACGTAGCACCCAAACCAAAATAACTGGGGTCTGCTAGCCAAGCTGGCTGATATATTTTTTTTGTCTTTATTGTTTTTTTTTTTTGTTAGAGCGGGCTATGTATGTACAACATATTAAGATTAATCTATTTAAGCCTTAATTATTGTATATATCATTTAGTCGATTGCTATTAATTGTTATATCTTTCCTTTTGTATGTGTTCCTGCGCTGTGAGGTTAAGTGGTAGAGTAGCCAGCTGGCTAAACTTCGCCTCGCAGTGTGGATGGATTAATAAAGACATTATTATTATTATCAACTAATATCCCAGAGTCCAGAAAATGACGAAACGACCCCTGCACCACGACCTCAACGGAAACAGAAAAGCGAATCACGCAAAACACGTAACGTTCTTGAGTGGCCTTGAAGATATGTTTTAGAGGAAACCAACTAACGGAGAAAAACTACGTTTTTGCTGATCGCCAACACCATACTGAATCACTGAGAAAGAAAGATATAATACGAGTGAAATTATACAATCAATAAACTATTAAATTTGCCAAAAGAAAATCATTGAAAAGGCTTTTGCCTAGGAATGGGCACTCTATTATCAATGAAGAGAAATTCAAATTACGGATAAGTGATAAATAGTAAAAAAACGTTACGTGACTTTGGCACGTGACAATGAAATTCGGGTGTTCTTTGACTATGTCATTTTCTAACGTCAGCTTATTACCAAATGGTACTGAACAGTATTCACAAGTTCTTATCAAATCTCTAGAGATTACCCCGTCAGGATGTTTCAAAACGTGTAGCGAAACCACTTTGCCTGGTAGTTGTATAGGTGCATTTTGTACATTGGTATACTTTGCTTTAAAGTCAGAATGCTTTTTGATAATGTGGACATCTAATGTAATTTCTTAGTAAATTCTACACCATAATGTGTACACGTGCGAGGCGATATACATATAGTTACCAGCCGTTTAGGGATGCATCAATTGACGTTTGTTGAAACTGCCAGTAAGCAGGGTTTGTAACACAACTTAACAAATAGATCTGCAGTTGTTTGTAGAAAATGGGGAAACATGTGGAAAGCATGATCGTTAAAGACTACATAGACAAGTAGTGTCAAACACAAGTGTTATATTTGTGAGTGAGTATATTTTCAACTGGCCAATATTTTTGAGTGCAATTTTGTCACACCTCTGCGGCTTTAATGCTTCTTTCCGTCTTACCTGTTTGTCCTACTAGACTAGTAAGTACTAATAAAAGTTCACCAGCTAACGATGTCACCAAAGTATCTTCTTCCAATTTGTATTATGAAAGGTCCACCATTGAGAATATAAAAGTCGATTTGTTAATATTAAAGTATATTCACTGATTACATAACAGAATACGAATTTAATTCAGTCATATAACTATGTAATCCAATATAATGCAAAGTGTATGTATAGAAGTCTAAATCTAAAAACATAAATATTAACTTAGATACCTTGCTCAACTTAAAAAAGTAACATTGTCTAAAAGACATACTGGTGATAATACCACATATTTCCTAAACAAGTGGTTATACAGGAAAAATATTCTTGATCGCTCAGAAAATTACCTTATGTTTAGGAAACATTACATAAAACAAACCAAATCAAAACTGTAAAACTGTTCACTCGCATACAACTTAACCTTCACGCAGTTTGGAGTATGCTTAGGTTAAGATGTTATGTTCATATTCAGTGAATGTTAGTTCACACCATTCGTTGTTTGTGTCTGGGCGGTCCATGGGACCTTTGCCCATTAGTCACTGGTCATGTTTATACCATAGGCATCCAATCGCTTAGCTAGCCACAAAACCTCATAAATGATGTTCTAAGGCCACTGTCTAATACACGTTAATCAAATCTGACAGTTTTGATAAAGGACGAAAAAATCAGAAGAGCAAACAAAATATAAGAGCCCTTTCAGACGCGGATACCGTATGCGAGATACAGTATCCGAGATACAGAATTACGACCGGATACTTTTTTACTTCTGTATCGCATACCGCCTTGTTATACGCAAAACAGACGCAGTGTAGTGCAGTTGTAATTATGGAAATAGAAGAGTGTATCGCGGTGTGGTATTTATTAAATAATAAGAAGAAGAAACTAAAAAGGAGACGTAGTTTGTGGGTTCATCCCATGTTGGGATTAAGAGAAAGCAAAGGAACGTATAATTTATTACATGAAGATTTGTTGCAAGATCCATCGAAGTTTTTCAATTATTATCGAATGTCTATTCAGTCCTTTGAGAAACTTCATAATATTTTGGAAAACAAACTAATTAAAAAGGACACAACTATGCGTAGAAGTATTTCGTCAAAAGAACGACTATCTATGACATTAAGGTAAGGAAAAAATACTTATAGATGTTTTTTTTCTAAATCTATTTGTATTTAAAGTAGTACAAGAAAAATAATAATTAATTATCAGCTCCACAATTTTGGTCTTAGCCTTGGTAATCAACAAGAAGATCGATGATGGATCCGTCTGTTGAGGTGGCAGTTGATTCAACGGAATGGGGTGAGAGGATGGGAACAGTGTCTGTTCTTTCATTGGATGAACATTGTAACTCAATGAATGAAGTGTTGGATGACGAATGGGGAGATAAATGAGAATGAGTGGAAGAAGGGTGACCATAAACGTGCACTTGTGAAGATGATGACTTATGAATAGGAAGATGTTGTGTAGAAGGGGGATTAGGAGCGGATGGATAAAACGGCAAATGTTGTACATGGTTGTAATTAAATGCAGATTGAGTGGGTAATAGGGCAGATTTTATCGATTGTATCATTGCCAATTTCACATCCATCTTTTTGTCAATTGGCACTCTTCTAAAGTCCGGCAGTAGCGAAAGAAGGAAATGTCGGTCTCCGTCATTGTCTAGCATAATATCGTTTGTTTGTCGCTGTGCAAGATTTGCCTTTAATAGGCCCACTATCTCAGTGTTATGGTCGGTTTCCGATGCCACTTTCCTTTTTTTCTGTACATGTATAGGCCTTAAAGGAGTAACATGCTCATTTTGTTCATGATCCGAAGCTTCTTCGATTGTATGATTTTCCTCTGTAAAATTTGAAGTGGTCCTAAAACAAATCTATTAATTTAGTAGTTCATATTTTGACAAGTTAAATTTTCTTACTCTCTATTTGAAGAGCATCGCATCAAAAAAGATAGCTGTTCAAAAAATATATGAGTTTTCCAAGAAGCTCCGTCACCACTTTTTTTCTTTTTTCTTTTCGCCAACTCTCGAGCAAAAGAATTTCTTAAATTCTTCCATTTTTTTTTGAAGATCTTTCCCTGAAAAATTCAACAAGTTTTTTTTAATTATTTTCAGGTACCTGGCGACTGGTTGCTCCCTTACTGAGCTACATTATAACTACAGAGTTGGAATTTCAACAGCAAGCGAAATAATTCAGGAAACATGCAAGCTAATTTGGATATTTATGAAAGAACAATGTATACCAAAGCCCACACGAGAAAAATGGTTAGAAATCGCAGACGGTTTTTTGAAAAATGCAAATTATCCACACTGTTTGGGTGCCATAGACGGAAAACATATCCGGGTTATAAAACCACAACATAGTGGTTCTCTTTATTTTAACTATAAACATTTTTTTTTCAATACAACTACTGGCGATATGTGACGCGAATTATTGCTTCACATTTGTAGATATTGGAGATTATGGGAAAAACAGTGATTCAAGCATTTTTACGAATTCACATTTTTATAAGAACTTAAGCTCAAAAAAGCTAGATCTTCCCAATCCAGATTTTTTGCCACAAAAGAATGATTACAAAATCCCATATGTTATTGTTGGAGACGAAGCATTTGGTTTATCCTTCAATGTTATGAGGCCATATAGTGGAAAAAATCTGACATTAAAAAAGATAATACATAATTACCGGTTAACTCGAGCACGAAGATATATTGAGTGTACTTTTGGAATACTTTCTAACAAGTGGAGAATATTTCACAGACCACTCAACGTGTCAATAGATTTTGCTGTTGACATAGATAAAGCTTGTACTGTACTCCATAATTTTGTTCGTGTACTAGATGGATATAAACATGAAGATGCCTTATCCGTCCAAGGATTTTATGATGCTAATGTTGCAAGATCAGCGACTGCTAATCGTGACTATTTTGCTGACTATTTCATGAATACTGATATATTACCATGGCAGAATAGTTGTATCATGTGAACTAGTGCTGTTGAAATTTTGAAATTTATTTTTATTCCTAATATTTCTGAAATATTCGTTTCTTATGTCTAAATTAGATTGTGTTTTAGTTTTAACTAAAATATAGTAAAATCTATCTATAGGAACTAAGTATTTTTGGGACAATAAATTTTAATGAAAATAATCCCATATGTAAACTTTTTAGCCTGCACTACTTACTTATAATAGTCTAATATGTATTTAAAATAAAATTATGTTTAATGTCTTACCATATTCATTCTGTTGTGCTGCTGTCATCTCCTCAAAATTGTCGCACATTTGTTTGGCAATTTCCACCCAGCGTTGCTGTTTCTTATTTCTATCGCAATAATCTGGGTGCGCTGTATCCCATAAACAGGGATTTGGTTCCACCAAACTTATAAACTTTTCATTATCAAAGACTGCACGTTCCATTTCTATATACATATACGTATTACATTAACGTCCAATTAAATTCTTAACCTCATTTACTACTAACATAAGAAAAACCCAACGACTATGTTCTACCGTATTCACTGATGAAAAACTATGCGTGTCTGAACAGCTCCGTATAATATAATGATAATTCTGTATGCGGCATACGCATTCTGTCGCCGGCGGCCGAAAGATGAGCGATACCGAAATTTGCGTTCGGGATACTGAATGCGTCGCTAGTGCTGTTTGAAAGGTTCGATTTGGGTGTATGGAATATCTGTATCTCGGATACGCGTATCTCGCATACGGTATCCTCGTCTGAAAGGGCTCTAAGAGTATCTGAGGAAGGGGGAAACTAGGCATTGTTGCTTGGTATAGTACATAGATCAATTTAATTTTTGTAGATGATTATAATTCAGGTTTCATTAAAGCGTGAATAAAAGAATGTGAAGTACACCGAGTCATGCGACAGAGGGTTGCTATGCGTTTCCCCCTGATTAAAACGTCGCTGCGCCTTCCACCGCTTAGTGTTATGATCGAACTACGAACAGACTCAAAAGCTAAGGCGGAAGTGCTTGCCAAATCTTTGCTGTCAACTCCATCATGGCCAACGCTCTAGTGCCGTCAATTCAAAGGGTTTTCTACATTATGGTGTAAGTAACATTCATGCATAAGCCGTAAGACGGGTGCTCCTGTCTTTCGACATCAACAAAGCTTCTCATCCGGACTTGATTCCTGCCGTTGTATTGAAGAGGTGCGCAGCGGAGCTTGCACCAGTTCTTTCGCTTCTCTTCCAGATATCTTACGAATCCGGCAACTTCCCAGAAAACTGGAAATTTGCTTCTGTCTAACCCATCCCAAAAGGTGATCTAAGTCCGACCCATACAACAGATATACAAAAGTCTATTGGGATACCTCGGAATGCTTCACCATATGCGACGTCAAGTTCCTCTTTCTGACAGTTTTAAAACCACATTGAGTACATTCATATATTTTAGATTTAATGGTAGAAATAAAATTTGGATGTCTTTTTAATATGTGATTATCGAAAGACATTTGCTCGGTAAATGGCGCAACATTACAATGCGGACATTGTAAAGTCCCACGGCTAGCCTTATCCACATGCGATCTGAAATGTATATTAACAGCATTTTTCGTAGTAGCTTGGTATGAGCATTCTGAGCATTGGTATACTGTGCTGGTGACTGAATTTATGTTTTCGGGGTGTTTCTTAATTGTATGGTTGTCTAGTGCTCTCTTACTTTTAAACACCGAATTACACAATGGACATGTCTTATGTCTATAACCGTCCTTTTGTAAATGCAGCGCTGAATGCTTAGCTAATCTCTCTTGAGTGGTCGTCCTGAATTCGCATTTGTCACACTCATATCTAGAGTGTGTCGGCACATGTAGCGTTAAAGAACCTTTCCTGGTAGTTTTATAGTTACACTCTGTACATTCATGTATCAAGCTTGTGATTGTTGATGCGAACTCTGGGTGTCTTCTCAAAACATGGTCGTCTACCGACATTTTATCAGCGAATTTACCATTACAAAACACGCACTGAACACGTGGGCCAGTTAGCGCTCTAGGTTTCACATTATGAGTCACCTCCAAGCTAGGAGCTTTTTCAGGATGTGCCTTTTTTATGTGCCTCGCAAAATCCAATTTCTTTATAGCTCTATACGAGCAATAGTTGCAGTTGTATACTTTCCTAGTAATTGAAGCACCAAAGTCAGGGTGTTTTCTAATAACATGGCTATCAAGTGCTTGCTTGCCTTTAAATTTGGCATCACAATACGAACAAGCTTTCAACATAGCACTGTTTGCCGTCTCTGGATGTGTCAACTTATGGGTATCAAAACTAGATTTTCTAGTGGTTTTGTATGGGCACTGCGTACATTCAAACATTCGACTAGTTACTTCTGAAATGAATTCCGGATGTACCCTAAGTATGTGGTTATCCAGTGTAAGTTTATCAGAAAACGTTTCATTGCAATGTCGACAAGTACTTAATATGTTACTACTCCTCGTCTCAGGATGTTTCAAAAGATGTGTAGCATAACAACTTTGCCTTGCGGTTTTGTATGAACATTTAGTACATTCGTAGACTTTACATGTTACAGTTGCAGAAAAATCAGGATGCTTTTTAACAATGTGGCATTCTAGTAAGTATGTTGTACCAAACTGAGCCTCACAATGAATACATATGCGGGGTGCTACATAAAGATCAGACGTCTCTGGATGTGTTAACTGATGTCTGTTGAAGTCATACTTTTTGGTAGTTTTATATGAACACAATGTACATTCATGTATCTTGCTAGTAACGGATTTAATATATTCTGGATGTTTTCTAAGCATATGTTCATCTAGTGGCCGTTTTCTTGGAAATACGACATTACAATGTGCGCAAGCTAAGCTATTGGTACCCACTTCAGAATGTTTGACTCTCATATGTGCAGATAGGGTATGATATTCTCTAGTTTTGAATGGACATCTTGGACAGCTATGTATAGTTGCATTAATTAATCCTCTCAAACTGAGATGTTTCTTGAGTATATGATTATCAAATGACACTTTTTTCCTGAACGTTTTAAAACATTTACTACAAGTATAGCACTGATGTGCCCTTAAATGTTCTTTTAATTTATTCTTAGAGTGAACTGTAAATTGACAAAAAAAGCAGCTGTATGAGATCCTTTTTTTCTGTCCTTTAAAGTTACGCTGGCACTTATTTTCTAGGATACTGAAAAAAAAACAAGGTCATTAATATGCGAAAATGACACCAAAAATTTTACTATGATTGTTTATTGATTGATGAAGACTGAAAAAGCTGAGTAGTTAGTATGTTGAAACGGCTCCATGTTACTGCTGGAGTTGTGAGGTGCGAAATTATTGTTATGCAAACTGCAAGCAAATGTGAGGTAATCAAGATGTATAACTAAGAATTATGTTATTGGCCTATTTGATTGTTTTTGTATCAGAACCCACCCGGAGAAGCGATAGACCTTGGGAAACATATAAGTAAAAATCCGAAATTCCTTGTTAAAAAATCCGACTGATTGCTCGCACTTTTCTAAAATACTACGTCGACCCACTATTTGTTATTACACCTCACAGCTTGACAAACTTTTTAGGTTTACCATTTGCACTATAGAAAGTTCTTTTGAATCACCCCAGAAAACATAAAGGTTATATGTGAACGCGTTGTCAATCAATTTCATCAAAATGGATGAAATATTTATAGGAATTATGCGGAAATAAGTGACATGGCTCTTTGTGATAAAACCTTAATAGATTTTATACGAATTATTCCTCATCTGCGATAATTTCAATACTTTTCGGAGCAACATTGTTTATCCTCCACAAAAACAAGTACGTTGATAGCTGGATCTTTTATAACACTGAGCAATAAGAATTTAACCGTTTCACTTCCCACGCGAATTGGCAAGGAAGTATTGTAATCGCAAAAAGTTAGAAAATGAGATACAACATATAGGTACAATACAAAAAACCATGTCACTTATCTGTTGGTCCAGTGGTCTGTCTGCTAATCCTTGGCCCCTCTATAGTTCGGAAAGCACTGTTCGAATTTTGATGACATTTTGAAACACAGTTACTACTATGCCAGGGACAAAAACAAAAAAATTAAATAGTGATTAAATTTAATTTTAAGACGTTTCAGTCAATCCTGCTTATTTTTGAAAATTGGGTGTGGGAGATTGCGCTAGTTGGGGGGGAGGCTGCAGCACAATTTTTTACTGTTAATACACTTGTGCGTTTCTGGACCAGGTGATTTTATGTGCCTATTAAACATATTTCACCCATAAATTTCCATGTACATGTGTCTTTATAATACTCGCAAGAGTGCAATGAAGTAGAAGAAGCCTGTTACGAGAGAAACTGTGCTGACGACATTGTTCTATGGTCAGTAAGGTAGAGAAGAAATATCATTTCCACTTAAAACCTTTGTTATACGCGTTCCTAGTTAACTTTATTCTAAGAGTGGTTAACTTGTACCAAACATAATCTTCTAAACTGATGATAGCATTGCATGGAAAGTCATGTCAAGTTACTTAATACCATTTTTGTATTGAACAAAATTAAAACATCAATATAATTGTCAGCACAGCAACAAGCCTCTTAGGGCCGTATCGTCAGTCGTTCCTACAATTGTAGGATGCCTTTGTGGCCTCCTTGATTTTCATAGTATTTTTCCCTCCTTCAGAAAGGCTGGGGTATTTCTATATTTCTACTGTTCCGTGTCAGCGTCAGCGCTCTCCTATTGTGAAGTTATATTTTCTTTTTGAATTGTAGGAAATTTGACGCTGATAAAACAGATGATATAAATCAAAAGCATAAACAATTTGATGAAATATATATTTGTGACATAATGTCAAAATAGAGCTCTGACACGGAATAGTAGAAAACTATGAAAATCAAGGAGGCCATAACAACATCCTACAATTGTAGGACTGACTGACAATATGGCCCTTAGAGCTTATATGTCCAAATCTATAGGGTGATGCTTTTGTTTGAATTTTTGAATGAATCAATCACTACTATATTTTAGGTAAGTCAAGAATTAAATGGATCTGATTGAATTTGAATATTTGATAGGAATATTGAAAGGTACTAGGTACCAAGAGTCCCATTATTACTAAGAGTACAAAATTAACACAAGGAGCACCTAAGTAAATGTCAAAAGCATTAAAGAATTAATGAGTATCTTGGTAAATAGTTGCTACTTAACTATTTAAAGTTGAAGGAATTATATTTTGGATTACAAGAACTTGATAAATAGATTGATTCAAGCAAATGACCAGTAATTACCAGTCAGGATTGGTCGATGTTATTCACCAATACTGTTAAAGTTCCAATAACATGGTATTTATATCACTCTAGAGTTATTTTTATCCCCTGCACATGCAACTTGTCATTTTCTAAAACCTAAACAAATGTTTCTCTGTGGGTAGGGTAATACTTTTTAGATTTTACATGAATTTTTATTATAAATTGGATATTTTGGAATCCTTTGATGTCTTTTTGAGGATGTGGAATAAATATTATTCGAGTCTGTGAGCCATTGAGGAAATCAACTACTTTGTTGAGTCATTGAATGATCTTACATATATTCTCCTTCATGATCTAAACTATCTTTGGATGGAGGTCCATATTGTGGTAGGTCAAATGCCTCTAATGGTTAAAAGTGAACTTGTCAGCAGGAATAGCTAGTATTTGTCAATTAATGTTGAAATTATAAAAAATTACCTGCTCAATGCTGGATTAGATGCTCCCTCCATGCAATGATCATGTTCACTTTTAATCTGCAGTTCAGCTGCTAATTTTGAAGGATTCACAAATTCTGCAGTATCCATATACTCTTCCAGCTCAGTGTTCTCAATTTTAATTACAACTGGTTTCTCCTCACTGGTATCCATACATACTACATTTAGATTATACTGCTCTTTATTTTGTAACTCCAGGTCTCCTGTGCCAGGTTCTAGTTTTACATTTTTCACTTCAAGTTTTTCCTGCTCAGTGCTCTCCAGTTTTGCTTCACTTGCAGATCTACAAATATTTTTTCTTTTTTTTTGCATGATAGAAACTGCAGATAGTGGTGTATTATAAAAAGAAATTAGCAGATAATGAGGAAATGCTAAGTTAAAACCCATTTTTATATTATCTGAAAAGACTTAAAAATCTAATAATTACAACCTATTTTAAAAACCTGGGTGGTTTCATCCAAATTTTGTTAGGAGAGCATTAGAGTTTAGCTTTCAACTATGACTTAGTAAAATGTTCTAAGATATTGGGGTACAAAGAAAAGCAAAAGCTATGGAAAAAATAGTCATGGTGTCACTACATAGCTCATTTAAATGCTAGATTTCCCTAATATAACTCCTAAAACTTATCTTGTGGGTTTCATGTTCATGGGACTGTTTGGCCGAATCAAACCATCAATGTTTTAATTTATGTTTATTGTATGATGTTTTAATTGCACTGTTTTTTTATTTTATAACTTACAAATCAGCTTCTAGAAAATCCTCTGGTTCCTGTTTTATGAACACTTGTTCATTCATTTTGTCTTCTTGTTTAATATCCATTGTGAAATGATATTTTTCTTCTGAATAGTGGTTATAGTATAACTTCTATGCAGTTGTTGAAAGGAACCACAGTCTACAAAGTTTCTGTGAACTTTTCAGGGGCTGGGGTCCCACATAATACAGTAAGCACCAGCACATTGTTTGCTATAGTATTGTCTGCAATAAAATAAACATAATCCACCTAATATTACATACAAATCATTGGGACAAAAGTTGAATAGTTATGTATACAAAAAATTCGGTGAACAACAAATGAACAAATTTTGACACAGAACGATGGAAAACAGAACATAACCATTAGACCGGTCACCGGTATAAATAGATAATAAGGGTTTCAGAAACTGTTGCAGCGTTAATAGGTAAGTCAAAACGGTTTCAGTTTTAGGCAACACCCACATGTTAAACCGCTCCCACACGATGTGGCGAATGCCTTACAACGTTGGACACACAATCATTCGCCACATCCATCGTGTGTGAGAGCGCTGACGGATTGCATGTGTCCAACGTTCGCCACATGGCACGTTCGGGCTCTTGTCGGTAAATTTGACCCGCGTCAAAGGACCTTACAACGTTGGAAGCATGGTTCGTTACGCTCCCACACGAGATGTCATGTGTCTGATGGTTTTAGGTTAGAACCAGTAGCGACGACAAACATTATTTGTTTGTTGTGATTGTGGTGAAGTAGTAGTATGTGGGAAGTATTTTGATTTGAATATCTACCTATTAATAATAATGTATGTTCCATAACTAACTTTTGGTTCATCGCATCGGAAACAAAAAAGCGAAAGAATTTGGAACGATGTTTTTACAATTATTTCATTCAGTTGTATACAGTCAGTGTCAGTCGGTAGTGGATAGTGGTGTCTGTTGCGTGGCTCAAACGAAATAAAAAATGGCACATGTTTATGCGGATCGGTTTCCCAATCGAGTGCAACCAACCCCTCGTGCCTTTGTTAATGTAGTACAACGGGTTCGTGAATCATTTGACTTAAGACCTCACATATGGACGGCATGCCGGTGCTCCAAGACCGCACGATCAAAAACAGGTCCGCACTGAAATACTTGTCGGGATGATACTTTATAAAACAAGGTAAAAATTTTTTTTATTTTTTTTTTATTTTTACACACATATTTTGGTTCATCTTCCTTCTACAATCATTATCTTAGAATTAATGACTCAACTTCAAAGTCACCCTGTATACACTTGACGTTTGTGTTTTGACAGTTAGCCTAACTTTTTTGCGACGACCTTGCCGCGTTATCGCATATCACCACGAGGCGAGAACGTATGATTGGTTGTGTGATCGTAAAAACGTCATTTGACATCACTTTTGCGAATGCTTGTCTTTTAAATGACCTAGAGAAGATAGTTCGGCGAGTCGCCCTCTAATAATTTTTGACTCCAGAGAAGCGGAATCGAATTTTAAATTAAAACACTTAAGAAATGTTTCGAACGGCAATTGTACGAAGTGACCTCACAAAAGAAATACTCAGGAAATCCGTCCGAGCGAAAATAATCAGAAATATCAGTGTAGAATGTATCAGAAGGAAGCAGTATCTCAGGTGAGCTTTTTTATGTTTTTATAAGTAATCCCCATGTTTGTTCTTCACTTACATAACGTGTTATAAATTTTCTATAGTCAAAGCGTGATCGGCAAATTATTACTTGCTGATAACTATATGCAATTATGTTATGTACATGCTTGCTAGCATGGATTAAAACTTTGTATCATTTTAACTATTTCATAGAGTACTGCCATGTGGAGGCTACAACAACCAAATATTAGCCAAATGGATAGTCCCAGAAGAGACTTTAATACGATTCTACTCAAGCAACTATCCTGCGCACACAAAAGTTACCTTACCAGCACTCTCTCCAACTATGGAATCAGGTAGGTCAACTTCATATTATATAGTCATAAATACCCGGATTTATGTTCCTGGTAAAGCAAATTACAAGTATATTATATCAAATTTCTAGGCACAATTATCAGTTGGGAGAAGAAGGAAGGTGACAAATTAAATGAGGGCGACTTGTTGGCTGAAATAGAGACTGATAAAGCTACCATGGGCTTTGAAACTCCAGAAGAAGGATACCTCGCTAAAATATTGTTACCAGCTGGATCAAAAGATGTCCCTATTGGTAAGATAATTATATAATATATGACATGTTGTATTTTCACAATAAATCTTGCCTTACACATCTGAATGAATATAATACAAGTTTGAAGATTTCTTTCTAGCTATAGGCTAATGACCTTAGTTATTGAAGCATGCAAAAGATGTAAAGGTCATAATCATGATTGAAAGAATATAGTCAAAATTATTATATACCTATAAGCATATATATCTCAAGTAAATTGAATATTTATTTAGTAATAATAGCCATTCTTCTTATCACTAGTTTCAAAACATGAAGAGATTACAAATATGGTATTTCAAATAATTCATTTGCAAAGTAACAATTTTAGTAGTTTAGTATTGTGTACTTATAATCTTACAATGCAAGAGGTTTTAATTGTACAGGACTGTAACCTCATCAATATGACGACAGTACGCTAAAGTGTCATAATTGAATTGGCGGGTTGACCTTAAAGGAGAAGTTTAAGGTTTTACATTTGCTTATGTTTATATGTTTATGTCGAGTTTGTTACATAAGCATTGTGATCTTGTTGCAGTGCAATAATATCATTGACATTTTATGACTATTTTCTAATTATCCTCAGAATAGGTGAATTTTATTTAGTTGCAAGGAGAGGTTATTAATATATGTATAAGGAACAATAGGAGTCCTAGTTTAGATCCCTGAGGTACACCTGATGTAGAAGTATTGGGATGTGATGTATATATTTATGCAGTTTTGTGAAACCGTTGATGTCTTATTTATCTGTTCTTACAAAAAACTTCCTCTATTCCAGGCAAACTGGTGTGTGTCATAGTAGAAAACGAGGCGGACGTGGCAGCTTTCAAAGACTTCAAGGATGATAGCCCAGCGCCGGCAGCTGCACCTAAACCGGCCGCCCCTGAACCCGCGGCACCCGCGCCTGCCGCCCCTGTGGCCCCACCTCCGGTACCGTCAGCCCGTGCGCCCCCAGAACCGGCCGCCCCTGCGCCCCCAGAACCGGCTGCAGCTGGAGGTAGGGTGTATGCCAGCCCCATGGCCAAACGGTTGGCCGAACAGCGGAACATCAGACTGCAAGGTGCGTGTCATACAAGTGTTGGGTGAACCCAGTTCAGCTTTCATTACAACTATGCTTTTGTTTATTTCTGTGCGGGACCGATTCGACCAACTTGAATAAACTGAGATTAAGCTCATGAACAGAGTTGAACAACAGATTGAAAAAATCAGATGTCATGAAAAATATTTAATATTCCTTCTTTATAAGAGAGCTCTTTTAAATCATCTGTATTACCCACAACACAGATTACACACAGATGCGGCAGCTACTGTCGGTCCCTTTCATTCTTGCTTCACAACCTATTTGATATCAATCCTATCATTTGCCATGAACGCCTGCAGATTTTTTTTTAAAGGTCGCAAATAAAAAATGTTTTGCTTCTGAAGAAATCTACCTTACCATATTAATTATATGATACAGTAAATACTAAATAAACTTACCTTTGACGGTTTCTCGAGAAAAATAGACCCTAAATATGCCACATATTTTTTATTAGCTGACCTACCTTTTCATTGGCTGTCGCCTCTGGTAGCACCCAGTGTCTCTGAAGGAATCTGCCAATGTAATTTTTTTTCATTTTGAAGATCGGAAGAACCATACATTATGTCAAACTATCAACATCAGAGTAAATGTTATTTTCCTCATGTCTGACGGAAGTCTAACCGTCTTATGTACTTACTAGTTACGCTAGAAGTTGCTCATAGAAAAAAAATAAAACACAGAATATAGCAAGAAACAGCAATACTTTTGGGATGCAAAATAATTATATTCCGTTGACAGTTTTTTGCGAATACTACATATTAAATACCAGTTCATAATTCAAGTCTCACTGGCGTTACTTAGTGTTTCAACAAAAATGAACGAAAGTATGGTTGTCTTACAGGAAGTAACCTTATAGGAAAGTTGTGATGAAGACATAGAAACAGATAAATCAGCTGAATTATTGCAAATTACATTTATACCCATATGATGTCGACTTATAGTATTAATAATATTAAAATCTGAAAAACCAGGAAAAGTAAATGTAAAGTTCAATGATATCTATATCTGCCCAGGCTTGTGACATCACTGCCTTGCAAATGAAGTTCACTGCAGTGCTTGTTGACTAACAATTACTAAAATTATCGTTTGTTTTGATTTTATATTTGGTGTTATGTGACACCATTGTGTATATCATTGTATAAGATAGACCTATACATCTAAGAGGAAGAGCTATAATTCATTTTTATCCTAACATATTCAGCAGGTATGGTGTATTTTTGATAATTTTTAGAAATTATCACTTCATATCAGTATCAACCTCAAAAAATATAGTAATAAACGAACATTTTATATTGCAGCCATAATTATAATGAGATTAACTATAATAAATGATGTTTTTTTTATTTGGTATAGTAACCTGGTCATATTTTATGAGGTGATACTGTTTCAAGAAGAAAGCAAGGGAATTAGTACATTGAAATACTGGAGTATAATTGTGAATGAAATGTTTTACGTTTTGTTAGCATGATGTCACTAGCTGGGATTGATTTAAAGTGGACATTTACTTTCTATCTTATTGTGGAAGTTTATAAGTTTCATAGGTTCATGTATTAAAGTTAATTGCTTAAACGTGAAGCTTCTCCATCTTTATGTTTAAAATGTTTCAAATTGTATATTTGTTTTTGCAAAATTGGCACAGTTGTTTCAAAGCCATATTGATTGTGTATGAGAAGTGTGTCTTAGTGGTATTTATTCATGAAAAAGTGGCACTCGGAGTATTATTTTTAATACCGATCAACAGACTAATCTATAATTATTGTTTTGAAATCCGTCCGCCAAAATAAAAAGAAAAAATTCAAGAGAGTGAATCTTTGTAAGTTTAAGATACTTTAGATAGATAGATAGATTTTTTGCAAGACAGTAGAGCGTTTTTTTTTTTCTCTAAACATACAGGCCTGCCGACATGAACGCCGCTGATATACAGTAGCGGAAAAAGTTTCGAAATATTCTTAGTAATTTATATAAAGTGCGCTAATTTTTTATTCTTTATTATTAAGGACAATTTTTTTCTTATATAGTTTGCTTACAGTCTTGAGGATACAAATGACAATTTTGGTTTGCTGTGGTACTACAGACGCATTAAAATAATAATATTAAAATCTGAAAAACCAGGAAAAGTAAATGTAAAGTTCAATGATATCTATATCTGCCCAGGCTTGTGACATCACTGCCTTGCAAATGAAGTTCACTGCAGTGCTTGTTGACTAACAATTACTAAAATTATCGTTTGTTTTGATTTTATATTTGGTGTTATGTGACACCATTGTGTATATCCTTGTATAAGATAGACCTATACATCTAAGAGGAAGAGCTATAATTCATTTTTATCCTAACATATTCAGCAGGTATGGTGTATTTTTGATAATTTTTAGAAATTATCACTTCATATCAGTATCAACCTCAAAAAATATAGTAATAAACGAACATTTTATATTGCAGCCATAATTATAATGAGATTAACTATAATAAATGATGTTTTTTTTATTTGGTATAGTAACCTGGTCATATTTTATGAGGTGATACTGTTTCAAGAAGAAAGCAAGGGAATTAGTACATTGAAATACTGGAGTATAATTGTGAATGAAATGTTTTACATTTTGTTAGCATGATGTCACTAGCTGGGATTGATTTAAAGTGGACATTTACTTTCTATCTTATTGTGGAAGTTTATAAGTTTCATAGGTTCATGTATTAAAGTTAATTGCTTAAACGTGAAGCTTCTCCATCTTTATGTTTAAAATGTTTCAAATTGTATATTTGTTTTTGCAAAATTGGCACAGTTGTTTCAAAGCCATATTGATTGTGTATGAGAAGTGTGTCTTAGTGGTATTTATTCATGAAAAAGTGGCACTCGGAGTATTATTTTTAATACCGATCAACAGACTAATCTATAATTATTGTTTTGAAATCCGTCCGCCAAAATAAAAAGAAAAAATTCAAGAGAGTGAATCTTTGTAAGTTTAAGATACTTTAGATAGATAGATAGATTTTTTGCAAGACAGTAGAGCGTTTTTTTTTCTCTAAACATACAGGCCTGCCGACATGAACGCCGCTGATATACAGTAGCGGAAAAAGTTTCGAAATATTCTTAGTAATTTATATAAAGTGCGCTAATTTTTTATTCTTTATTATTAAGGACTATTTTTTTCTTATATAGTTTGCTTACAGTCTTGAGGATACAAATGACAATTTTGGTTTGCTGTGGTACTACAGACGCATTAAAATACCTTCATATTATTTTATGACCAAAAATGAGACGACAAAAGTATGGAAACATATTACAAAATTAAATACAATAACTTTACAATAAGATTTAAAAAATACTGTTCAGCTGATAGCATAGCCTTTAGCATTCAACACTGCCTGACATCTGCTGCTCATAGAACACACCATTTTTTTACAGATGTCTGTTGGGTTATTTTGCCAAATATTTTTACATAATCAAATACATCGTTCATATTTTCAAAAGATTTTTCTTGTCAGTTGTCTTTTAACATGTACCCAGAGATGTTCTATAGTGTTTAGGTCCGGGGATTGCGAAGGCCATGTAAGAACATTAGCATTTTTTAGTCTTAGCCAGTCCTTCACGAATTTTGAGGTATGCTTGCTATCATTATCTTGCTGGAATGTCCATCGTAAAGGCATTTCTTCTTCAGCAAAAGGGAGCATGTGTTCACTAAGAATATCTTTGCAAAGTTTTTGATCCTATTTCCTAACAATTTTAACAATTGGACCCGTTCCAGAACTAGAAAAACAGCCCCAAACCATGATGTTGCCTCCACCGTGCTTAACTGTTGGCAACTGATATTTTTTGTCGAATCTCTTTCGTATTGGACGTTTCACATATGCCGTACCGTCAGATCCAAACAAGTTAAATTTGCTTTCATTGCTCCATAAAACTGTATTCCATTGTTGTTCTGCCCAAGTTAGACGAGTTTTAGCAAATTCAAGTCGAGCATTACGATTTTTTCTTTAAAGAGAGGCTTTAGCACGCCTACCAAAAAGCCCAAAATCCACCAAGCGTCTCTGCACTGTTCTGAAAGAAAGATTCTCGGTACCCTCTTCCACGATTCTTTTGAAAATCTGTGTGGCTGGCATTCGAGGATCTTCATGGGACAAACGTTTAATGTAGCGACCCAAAACATAATCGTTTTTTTTTCTGTCTTCCGTACCTGGGCCGCGTTGCTGTTGATCCATATTCTTGATATCGGTTAAGTAAACAGCAATGCTGATCTTCGCCGAGTTTAAAATGAAGGCCTTTTTATTTATATATTTATTTTATATTTACTAATAATTTCCGAAATCGTCCCTTTGTTCATTTCTAACTTTTGAGAAATGTCAACATTTCTGACACCACTTCTAAATAATTCAATCACTTTGTCTCTTAAATCTTTTGAAAATTCTTTTACTTTTGCAATTTTCACTGATCTTAATATTTTCCGCACGCAATATCAGAGTATCGCAGAACGAATAAATACGGTAAAACTGAAATGTTTTCATACTTTTGAGGTTACAAAACGCATGTTTTTATTTTTAGAGAATTCGAATATTGATAAGATAAACTTTGTATTAGTACGGGAGTCAAAGGCAGACTTTAATATTTGTATTATCTGTTCCTTTAGAGTTTTAATTTAGGTATATGAAATAGTTCAAAATAATGTTAATATTTGTTTCCAAACTTTTGCCCGCTACTGTAAGTGCATTAGAAAACAATCCTGGAACCTTTTATAATACGCCTACGTTTGCCAAAACTCATTTCAACATCTTAATCTTTAGAAAATGTAAAGCGGACTATAAAATATGGACAAGATGTATAGTATCGTATGCACCGTGCAATTATTTATTAAATGTTTGTATATTGAAGGCGAATACTTTCAATAGACCCGGCTTCTCGAAAGTGCAATATTCCCTTGTTTTCTCGCAGGCAAAGGCAGCGGTCTGTACGGCTCGATAACCTCTTCCGATCTTCCAGCGGCTGGCGCTGCCGCCCCCGCCTCAGCACACGGTGCTCCTCCCTCGGCAGCAGCCTCCTTGGTAGTGCCACCAGCACCATCCTCGTCTCCATACGTAGATATCCCGGTGTCCGCAATGCGCGCCACCATCGCGAAACGGCTGCTCCAATCCAAGACCACCTTGCCCCACTACTACCTCACCATCGAGGTCAACGTGGACAAGTTGCTGCAGGAAAGGGCCAAGTTCAACAAGAAGCTGGAGAAACAGGGTATCAAGCTCAGCGTCAACGATTTTATCATCAAGGCTGTGGCTATGGCGTGCAAAAAGGTGAGATTTAAGTCTTTTTCACCCATCTATATCATACGAAACAACTTTTATTCCATCTTGCACACGAGGTAATTGAGGATCGTTGTGTATACCGAACGATTATTTAGAGCATTTTGGAACACCTTACATTCAAACCTGCTACTGCAGCTACAATCATTTGAATTCAAATTAAATTTAATAGTGGTAGTTATTCTACCTTCTACTGTAATATACACATGTTATATACAGTGTTGTGCATAATATTTGGTGTAAATGCTAATCACTATCCAGTTGATGTTAAATAAATGTTCATCTTACTTTTTAGGGGGAGGTGAAAAATGACTTTGCCAATTCTCTTTACTTTTGTAATGTCCATTTTACACTCGTTATGTATATTCCAGTTAAAGTTGTTATTTTCAACCTTTTTCGTCAAAATTAGTGTCTCATTAGTTTGAAGCTTTCAACTCTGGTTTCGCGGCGATTAGTCTGTAGATGATCTCTGAAGAGAGAAGAGGGAAAGGTGTGGTTACAACATAGATACTCTGCCTTTGCGATCATTTTAAAGAAATAAAATTATATTTTCTAGGTACCAGAAGCCAACTCATACTGGATGGACTCTGTCATCCGCCAGTTCACTAACGTTGACGTTAGCGTAGCTGTGTCGACAGATAAAGGTCTCATAACGCCTATAGTGTTTGCTGCTGATCAAAGGCCTATCACTGAAATTAGCCAAACTGTAAGTATAACTTTCTATAAATTGAAATTCTATATTAGGCTTGAAAGAAATTTTATTACAGAATACTACTAAACAGATGCATTAATTTTTTATTAATCAAAGAGATAAGTAAGGAAAATTCCGGGCCGGTGAAGTATACTACAACTACAACATGCTTTAGATAGGAATATTTATGAAACATACGTTTTTTTTTTATTTCGTCATTTAAATTTTATAGAAATTTACTTTGAGATCTCCAAAAACTACAAATAGTCGCCTAGATGTGAGACGCTGCGAAAATGGTTTGTGTGTGATGCATCATTCCTAATTTTTCTGTGATGTGGCTTAATTACACACAACGCGTTCGCGGTGGTGATTTCCCGTTATGATTCTCAGTTTTTGAAAACGCAAAAAACTGGGTAAAATCGTAATTTATAGCTTTGAACATAAGCTCTCTTCAGAAAGGATAACTAAAAATACGCCGTCTGGTACAGCTAATAGATATACTTCATGAGCAGCATATTCAGTAATAATTTTCTCACATAGCAAATAACACTGGTTTTATATACATGCAGACCAATACACACAATCATCCAGATGCGATCTTGCTACTCAACCAATTTTCTTTCTGTAATATCTTCTCAGAGATATACTAGTTCTCTACAGTCTATCTCGGCATTCTGCAACCAACAAA